TTAAGTCAAACCAACTGGATGCACATAAACGGCGGCTCTCCGTCCTCCTGTGCAGCCCCATCTGCCCACTCTCCACAGGACTCGGACGCAGAGCGATTGGAACTGAGCATGTTGGTTCCGTAGGCAGAATCATCGCTGGCTTAACGGGGAAAACACTTCCTGCTCCTTAGCAGATGGGATGAGGACGTGTCGATGTGCTGGACAGGCAAACGTGCTGAGAACTCGGCATCTCAGATCCTCGATCTTTTGCGAGCAAAGTAGTGTGAGGCAGAAGGGGTTGCAGACTGCGACTTTTCCTAGGGGAGCGCTGCTTCAGATGTAGAGGGAGCCGTCGGCAGGTCCCACGTAGCCGACCCCAATCAGAAGAACATCTATCAGCGTCCAAATACCCAGGCCTCCAAAGCTGAACAGTTTGCCCAGTCCCTCTCTCCACTGGCCCAGATAAAACCTGTCTGCCCCAAAACCACCGAGAGTGATGCTGCAGCAACAAAGAGCAGAGGCACAGATTCACAGGATGATAATTTGAGAGCACACATCCTGACTCAAACTGACTGAATAGAAAAAAAATGCTGAAAACTGGCTAAAAGGTTACCTGAGTGCGAGTGCTGTTGACCATTTGTATCCACCGGTCCAGTTACAGAACAAACGCTTCTGAAACCGCCTTTTGCCTAAAGAAGAAAATTACATTTAATAGTCAGTTTAATATTAAACATTAACCTTCAAGAGAGATTTTTCTCATTTAAATAATTAAAAATATGAAAGATGTTTTGTACTCTGTTCGCTTTGCCAGACTAACAGCTGAAAGTCACTTTCTACACAGACAAAAAACATCTGATGAACTCAGATTCCTCCATTCTTTGTCACAATACAACCACAAACTCCAATGTTTTATTATGATTTTATTTGGCAGGTCAACTCAAAGTACTGCAAAAGTAATAAAAATGCAGTATGTAACTTATAAAAAATGTTTTTTTACATATTTGTTAAAACTGTCATGTGACAGTTTGCCATGTGACAAATAATCTGTGAGAAGATCAATCCTTCACTTCCTGCCTGAAGTAATATTGCCATCTTAAGAAATGCATCACTCCCAAGTCATCCTGACCAAAAACAACAAATTAGATCCAGGAGGAGTGTCTTAGTGCTGTCAATCAATACAATGTACTTGCTGCTAAATGTGCTAATGGTCGTTACAGGAAAACTGTTTATCCACCATCATGGGTGGTCATGCTAACAAGGTGCAGAGTAAAAAAAGAAGAGAGCAAAGAGAAAGGGGAGGAGAAAATGGGAGTATGAGCAGCCCCACACAGAAAGCTGATTGACAGCATTAAGACAAGTCTCCTTTCTCTGAGTGGTTATTTCTAGATAGCACTGGTAGAAAGCAGAAGAAGTTCAATTTCTCTCTTTCTTGGGAACATTCAGTTTTAATCAAGCAAAACAATATAAAGAGCTAAAATATAAATCACAAACCACTCAGCTGAAGGTAAAATAAGACAAAATTTGTGCTAAATTGAAGTGCAAAATATAAAGAAATTGTGAATATCTCATCACAGAATCTCCAGGCACAGATTATTGCTCCTTTCACTACCTAGAGAAAAAAAGCATTTTGCCTCCAATAAAAAGCATCACAGGGAAATCAGTTTGTCTTTTTGAAGCATATTAAGTCTCAACAGAGCAATTACAAAGCAGCCACAAACAATGAATTTCACATCTAAATTAGCATGCAAGTTTTTCTGAGAGCCGTTTCTCAGAAAGTCTTTGTTTTCCAACAGTAGCTCCTTTTCAGTCAGAGGGAGAAAAAAAAAGAAAAAAAAGAACATCCTTTACAAACTGAATACAGCATTGACTGCTGTATTCAGTCATTTAAGATAGCCCACATACACTTTGTCTTTAGATGTGCATAAGAAATTAAAAGCAAAATACACCAAGTGGTTTTGTGTAAATCTTCTACACACTGCCAGCTACCTGAATGCAAAACTAATTCATTTACATCAATGTAAGCCAGCATTTGGCTGGAGACAGGAAAAAAATAAGTCATCCCACGCCGTACATTACTGTTTATGTAACGGAAGTAGACAATGCAAAGTTCTCCATGACTCAGAGCTCCATGAAAAGGAAATAAAGTAACATTAAAAAAAAAGCTTAAACTGCCCATACCTTTTAACGGAAAAATAAATCGTCCATCAAAGGTCAAAGTGGATGACGAATACACAATTTACAGAAAACTGTGAGCATAGTAGTGCTATAAACATCTGTAGTCATACCTAAACAATGCACATGGTCCAAGACGTCACAGGTGGCGTTGTAGCGCTTGCGGGGACAGGACACCGTCATACAGTTAGTGGAGTTTGAGCAGCGGTACTCAGATGGGTCCAGCTGCCAGCAGAACTGACAGGTGATGGAGAGAGTGAAGTTACTCAGCTGCTCTCCTGACTTTCCCTGGAAATATAATAAGAAACATTCCTTCAGAGTAACTCCAACCAGACTTTAAGGTAAATCAAGACTCGTACAGAAGCTGCTACTCACTACGCAGTGAACGCCTTTCTTGGGTTTACATGAGAAAGATGCCGGTTTCCCATAAGTGCAGTTGTGTTGGTAATTGCACTGAATGCAACTGGCTGGCAGGCGATCACACAAACCTTTACTTGGACATTTGGAAGTGTAGCTGTCCTCATCTGTTGGGGAAACTGCAAAACATCTGACATTGAATTTGGTTTGAAAATAAAACGCTTTACTAGAGTTGACAAAAAAAATTATTCACTAAGTAAAGTAGGTTGACTGTTAAAAAACAATGAGGTGTTTTAATCAGTTAAAACAGTTATGAATATATTAGACTGTAAACAATTCTCTATTAAAAAGTCTGCACAAGAAAATGTAGGCAAGCTTTTGGAAAATCAAAAATCTAAAAATCTAGTGAATTACAGTAACAAAGTTTTTAATTCTGACCTAATTTATTGATGTCCACCTATAGGTATGTTACTTTTGATAACTGCATGGCCATCACTCTTGTGCTCATCTCCCTACTTGTGATTTTGCCACCTGGCATTGCCAACGCTTTGAAAAAATTATCTTTTAAATGGTTGCTGTGGCTGGGTTTAATATTTAGCAAACAGCATTTGATAAATTACATGAAATATAAAATAAGAATTCCAATCATTGTCAAATTTTATAGTAATTTGTAAGACAGCTATACAAATGTTTTGACCTTTGAACACACAACTCTTAAAAATATAAAGCACTCAATAAAGACAGCTTTTACATCATTTTTTCTGTTTCTAGAATGAATTACATTTACTTGTAATTCATTGGTTTTTATGATCTGTCTGCTGGTCTTTGAATGAGCAGGGTGTTAAAAGTGATTCTATTTCTTTTGTGTGTGTGTGTGTGTGTCAAGTTCACCTGTACTTAATCTATAACTTTTTATTTTAAATTAGCCCATTTACGTTTGGACTAGATTATGCAACACTAAACATGGTAAGACCAATGTGATTCTGTGTTAAAAAAAAAAAAAGATATATTCCTCATAACGATTTAATATCATTTGAATTTACCAGAGGCTACAGCTGGGATCACCGGGCTGGTGATGATAGTTCCATGCTGGGCGTCTCTTGTGTAAGGAGGTTCCTGGTCAATATGAGGAGAACTCAGGTATCCTGAAAAGCGATCATATTTAGTAAAAAAATAAAAATATTGCTTATAGGGCAAACATAGCATAGTAGTTTGTTACTTCACCGAGACAACAGAGTACAGTAACTTCTTCTAAATCAGTAGTTACAGTCACTGTTTAGTTCTAATTACAGTAAAATAAAAGGTTCAATCAAAACATCTCAGAATTGTTTTCATTCAGAAACAGCTAGGAGCAGGGGCTAGCTTGCTATGCTAGCTCGGTGCTACTAGCTTTGGGTACAAAACTAAAAGCTAAAGCCTTCTTCTCGAATAAATATAGCTGTATTTGTAAACATACCATTTACGCACTGTAAAACCAGATCCATAAACAAGATGACAAATATTCCATAGTGTTTGCAGCTCCGTCCTCGGTCTGGTCTCCATATGTGACAGCTAGCAGCCATTGTTGCTGCGGAACAAGAAGCAGCAGATGCATTCACGGAGTGTAGGTACCCCGAAGATGGACGGCCATCCGGCAATTAATCCATCCGATTTTGTCTCTACCGTTAGTGGTTTTGTTTATATAAAAGATACCAAGTAATATATTTAATCGGTGAACAAAGCACTAATCTAGACGCAAAAAAGCGATTTTTTTAACCCCTCTTATTTGTGTTTACTCGCACGGACAGCACGCAAACGTATAACGACATTGCTTAGTGTGATTTATTGGTTAATAGAAATGAAAAGTATATTATATATCCACGATAAGAAATAAAATTCATAAAATTAAATTCGGGATCTACTGAGTAGGAACTAAACTTTGAGGAAACATTTCCATTGATGTTACTTGAACGCAGCATGTTTTAGGGGGCGTTCCTTTTACGTTCTCTTGACTCTGAAGGCATCTTTTTCAATAATATTGTATGAATGCGCGAATAATAGATATTAACGCAGATAATTTAAATGAGCTGGAAATAGACCTTATTTGCAAAACAATTAAAAACGACAATATTTCGTTATAATTTAATTATCGCAGTTTAAGCATGATTATGTAAGTATTTTAGGTCAGGTTTTAATTTTCAGTTAATTTTGTCTGCCTTAACTTAAACATTAAGTGCAGTGGGCGGGATGAGAAACTATCACAGAAAAAAAAAGTGATTTGTGTGAATAGGCTAACCAATCAGATGAAGGGGTCAATTGTAGAGCAAAATGTTAAAATCTGTACATTAAAACAGAAAACAAAATACTATTAGAATTTTTGAAACAATAGAAAGTTGCATGCAATTTATGCAATTAAATGGTAAATCTCACTATTGGGCTCCTTTTATTTAGATGGTACAACAATCATGTGTAACAACTAAAAGAGAAATACAATATATTTTACAAGCAAACACTGGTATGTTCCTGACCTTATACATTAACATGTAGGGTAATTATGGTCTTTCACATCACACAGAATAATATTAACAATTATTGCCAAATAATAAAGAAAAAGAAAAGACTGAATGAGACACAGTAAAGCATGAATGAAAAGTGAAGAGAGAACACATTTTGCAGTTTTTTTTTTCCTTTTATTTCAGGTCTTTTTTCTCCCCATGAGAAATAGGTGTCAATTTCACATCATTTTAATGGTCATAGTGATCTCACACTCTCATTTATCAGTTCAGTTTCCTTCTAATTGATGTAGACTGCCAAGAAATTATTTGGTATTCAGCCCCAAAATGAGATTTTTCCCTCCAGAGTTCACTGACAATCACATGGACATTTACTTTTTTCTACTGCCCCATTCATTAAAATGCACTTACACAAGATTACGATCCATTTGTGTCCACTTCACATTTATGACTTTACAAAATCCATCTACACAAATGCCATCATCTGCCTATTCACAGCTCCTCTAACAACTGCTGTGCATGAGGTAACTTAAGGACAAAATTCGCTTTGCCCATCTTCATCAAAATTCTTCTTCTGCATTTCGGCAGCGGGACTGTTTGAGCAGGGTCAAGCGAGCCATCACCTCAGACACCGGCAGTTCTCCGTGGACCTTGTTGTCTCTTGTGCGCACGTTTACGCTGTTAGTCATCTTCTCTTTCTCCCCGACAACTGCCAAGACACGAGACAACAACAGCTTGACATGACACCACGAGCACAGCTACCCTAACACAGTCCCGGTTTTGTATCAGTGGCTTCAACAACTGTGGGTGGTTGGCCAGCTTGAGCGACCATTCGGCTTGAACTGTGACTGTAATTAAGGCCGATTATTTTGACTGACTCAACGTCTCATGGTTCTTTTCTGAGTAGTTGTGCAGTGAAAAAGAACTAGGGATTGCAAGCAATCAACAACAATTTTAGTTGTTGATTAATCTATCAGTTATTCTGCTGTTTAGTCAGATAAAAACAATTGGAACATTCTGCAGATTTTTTTTATTTGAGTCTTTTTTACGCAAAACGAGAAATACATTAAAAGATGCAAAAAAAACACTTCAATTAATTATTCAAATAATATAAAAAACTATTTTATAGCTTAAAATGCAACAACAAAGGTTTTCTATAATGTACGCTTGATCAAAGATGCTTTTGCAGATATAAATAACTTCTAACATCAACATGTGAAAAACCCTTTTTTTCTTCACATCAGTAAAGCGTAGGGCTAACCTGTTTATTTTTTGAATGATCCAATCAATTAATTTATAGCAATAAGAGAAAAATTACTTTTTAAATTTGAAATGCAAAAGAATTTCTATATTTATACAATTTTGGTTTTATTACAGCTCTGATTTATTTGTTCTGAATCTGTATACTCCAGTTAATGATTAATCAATTGGCAAATTAGTTGACAGTTATTTCAATTCTCGATTCATCACGATTGATCACAATTTATCGCTTCTGCCCTAAAACAAGCCGTAAAAGGTCTTATCAGTTTAACTACAGATTGTATATTTTAAATTTTTCCATGTATCTTTTGAAAAAGTGATCACATTGGAAGGATGGGGTTGTCAGATGTTAAGAGTGCGATTTCATTTTCTGCTTAGATTAAAATGTAGCATAAACCAATTTAAATTCACCCAGAGTTACCATGATCTATTTGGCTGCCCGTATTGTACTCTCACTTAAAATCTAAATCTATAAAAATATTGTTAGTTCTCCAAGATAGGAGGAACAACCTTCCCAACTAATCAGAAACATAAAACTGATTAGATTTGTTACACCTTACAGCAGCTCGTATCCTCTTCACTAATAAATTAAATTTGGCGTCACATTTTCTCACCCAGGATGAAATTATATTGAGCCAACTGAGCGTTTCGGATTTTCTTGTTCAGGAGGCAGCCAGAGTCCAGATCAGCGTCTGCCATGAAACCGGCTTCTGTGAACTGCTTGCACACCTGACAGAGAAAAATACCACTTAATGTAATCAGCAGCATGCTGTACAAACATATGACACCTTTCAGTGACACAGCGGTGTCTATTTTGGGAAATAGAACACGCACCTTGTTGGCGTAATCCTCACAGGAGGGGTTGATGGGCACCAACATCACCTGTCGTGGAGAGAGCCACAGAGGCCTGTTGAAGAGACACAGATGGGTTGTGATGATCCCCATGTAGCGTGACGCTAACAAGCACGCCAGTCAACCCAACCTCCTCAAAAACCGAAAGTTAAAAGGCTGAAATCACTGTAGTGGGAATGATGAGAGTCAGAGAATTGTGCTGTAGTCCAACACAAAGCCATGTAATTAAAAAGCAAGTGTACAATTAGACTGGAACATAAAAACACCCACAATAGGAGGAAAACACCTAATTCATCCATATTCATTTGACATTATGGATTGTGATTTAAGGGCTTGAACAACAGGGATTCAGCTCACCATTTTCCTGCATAGTTCTCTGTGAGAATGGCAATCATCCTTTCCACTGAGCCCAAGATGGCACGATGGATGATGACTGGCCGCGCTTTGTCATCCCCATCCTTTCTGTTACCACAGAAAGACAACAGAAAATGAGGTGGAAAGACAAAAAGAGAAAAAGTGTAAATAACATTTTTACTGTGATTATAATGTGCATATTCAGTTTCATAAACTCTTCTGTAAGTTTTACAATTAATCTTGGATTGTGACAGTTTCAGATTTTATTTATTTTCATTTACAGCAACTTTCAGTTAAATAGACGTGGATAATACAAACAACAATTTGACATTATACATTCAGAGATTTGACTTTAAAATGTCAGCTCTCTCACACTTTCCCACAAGAACCCGAGAGTGTTGAACAATCTTCAAAATATGAATAGTTTTATGGTTGAAATGTTATTCAAAAATGTTTAAATGTCTGTCAATAGGGTTTCTTATGTTACTTTGTTAAATTAAAAAAAGAAACCCCTTAAAAATAATACACAATAAACTATAATTTTATTAAAATCTGATTTGAGTTGTTTTAGTTTTTCAGTTTTTCTCATTACTTGTTTGGAACCATAAATTTAAAAGCATTTAAGGTCATTGAATTGTTATTTTATCTACCAGGACAGTTTGTTTACATTAAAATTCCTTCATGATGAAGAGCTCAAATTTGCATACATGTCTTGTTTGCTTGGCTTTGGTGCTACACAGCACCCAGACTCAGCAGCATTCTGATTAGCTGACTCACCCCACAAAGGTCAGATTGAAGCGAATAGGCAGCTGGAAGTCCAGCTGAATGGTGGCACACTGGTGGTAGCGTCCAATCGCGTCTTTGATCTTAATGTCAATCTGCAACGATAGAAAAAGAATAGTAGACCCTCAGAATAGAGCCGATCTGGCGTTTGCCAGGAGGTTATGAGAAAATACTGCCTGACCTTGGGTCCATAAAAAGCCCCGTCTCCAGGGTTGAGTTTCCATGGCTCCCCAAACTCATTCAGGCTGTTTTCAAGTTGCTGTCAAACATGGAGCATCGATGCAGACAATATTAGTAAATGCAACAAGCAAGAATACGACTGGACATTCAGTCTGTCCTGCTTAATATCAAATTATATAACAAAACTGAACATTTGTAATCCAAACAAAACATATGAGTAATGACTTGCTGAAAACACCGCCTACAGAAATTGAAGGAATTTGACATGACTCATAGATGTGATACTATTTGATGATCACATAGTGACAGTGAACCAAATCTCAGAAGGAGAAATTAATTATCTAAATTTATCGCAGTGAAGAAGACAAAAATTAGATCAGTCCATTCTTTTTTTATTTATTTCAATATGTAATCACGATGCACACCACAGTTTACCTTCTCAGCCTGGTTCCACACGGCTATGTCACCCAGATACTTTTCTGGACGGGTAGACAGATAAAGCTGGCAGGAGAATCCGAACACGTCGTAAACACAGCGGAGGAAGTCCAGACAACCCTTCATCTCTGACTCAATCTATAATTTAAAAAATAAATAAAAATGATGGTACAGTGAATTTATCTGACCAACATCAAACAACTAAAACCCAACCAAATCTTTTCCTTCCATTCAATTTTCCATTAATAAGTTTGCATTTCACATGGCTGTCCCTGCCAGTTGACTCAGATCCTCAAGAAGTTAGTTTAAGAAATGGTTTAAATATTAGTGATATATTGAGCAGTCTTCAGAAACCATGCTCAAAATAAGCAAAAAAACTAACCATTTACTTTCTGCTTAAAGCTAATAAAACATTTGACTAAAAATAACTATTATACAAATATGGATTAGTAAAAGGCAAGTTTACTTAAGGTTCTCCTTTTCCAAAGGTAATTTAATCTCACAAACAAGCCTCATTGGAATGCACATTCTAATTTATTGAATGAGACCATACTAACAAAATATATATTACTTGTTTTATAGTTGCTTGACAATGGCAAACTTTTAATACGTATATCAATTTTCAAATATAGTTACTATAACGATGACAAGCCGGAGTGTAAATATACTAGTGTCTTTAAATTTTATGCAATAATGTTTCACAAACTATAAATTACACTGCATTTCCTATTTTTGCTTTTTCTTCTTTTTGCTTAAGATGAACAACATTCTAATATGCGTTAGCATTGGGAAATATTTTGTTTACTTACATATCTGATTCTAACTAACAATAGATTCATAAATAATGATATAGATCGTAATATATTAGAACACTTATGATCGATTATGTGAGTATTCTGGCATTAAAATATGATGGCATGTTTGTGAGAGATGTTCAGAAATCTAATATGAAAACTACTACCCAGTTTATTTAGAATAAATGTCAGAACTAAAGATTCAACCTGATTTTCTCAATGATAAAATATAATAGTTATTGTACAAAGGGGGGCAAATGCTCTCTATTATGCTTAATGGAATAATAGAGAGAGTTTTAGTTTAAAGAATTGATATTTTGCTAATATTTTTCATACTATTTCACTAATTTATTCTGTTGCACACAATAAACTTGAAGGTTAGACTGCAGATCTGACCTGATCCATCAAGCAGAAAATGTGAGCATCATCCTGCTGGAAGCGCCGCACTCGGGTCAGACCAGTCAGAGTTCCTGACAGCTCGTTCCTGTGCAGGACCCCGAAATCTGCCAGCCTCAAAGGAAGCTCTCGCCACGAGCGAGGCCTGTGGCTGAACATCAAGCTGTGGCAGTCAAACCAGAAAGAAGCTAATCAAACTGTGCAACAAACCTCCGCTTGGTGTGAAAGGTCTTCATGTGCAAACCACCGGGAGACGATCTAAATTTACCAGTGGCCGGGGCAGTTCATTGGCTTCAATGCAAAGATGTCATCTTCCACAGGGAATGAAAACATGTTTTCACTGTAGTGTTGCCAGTGGCCAGATGTCTCCCACAGCTTGCTGTTGTAGATGTTGGGGGAGGCGACTTCCTGAAAGCCTCTTCTCCAGTATTCGTCCTGGATAAACAAGAAAACCACATAAGGCTAAACGTTCCAGATGGACTGCACAGGTACTTCACTGAGAGGAAATGAGCCACGACTTTTGGCTTGAAATCCCCAGCCACTGCAACAAAAACAGTGTATCATCCGTTTTGTTTATCCATTTTTTCGCCCCGAAGAGAAACCTGTAACAGCCTGTCGATCCGTTTTGCTGCCAACAGTTGAAGGCCGGTGGAAAAGATTTTTGTGAACATGTGAAACTGTGAAAAACATAAAGGAGGGAGCGAGAGAAAGCACACAGAGTCATCTTTTTCTGAATAATTATTTTTAGCAGAAAAAGAGCATATTATTCCACAAACGGCTGCCATCAGTCATGTGTATAAGCTTAATTTCCTTAAGAGTTCTGTTTAAATGTTCTTAAATATTCATGTATTTAAAGGAAATGCGAAATGCATAGTTTCAGAGCGAGAACTGGCTTGGGTGATGTGATAATGATCTTGCACTGATTCTGAGGAGCCTATGTGCGGCACTCTGGCATGGCCGAGCCCGTGGGTGTGTGCAGCCTGCTGTGAAAGCCTTGGAGATGTCAACTCAACTTTGCAAAGACGTCAGAGATCCCTGCAGAGCCAATAAAGTCCACTAAAGTTTCAAATACAAAGTCAAATGTTCTGCTGCAGACTGAGGATACCTTTGTGTTACTACAACAATTCAACTCACAGGAATATATTTAAAGAGCCTTGAAAGAATATTCACACTCCTTTAACCCATCTGGATTTTTCACACTCTACAAAACACCCATCTCAGGGATGCGTTTGCAATAAATAAGGCACTACTTTTTTCCCCAAATTAAATACATTAAAGCCTTTTGGTTTAAAATGAGAAAATGTTAAAGATATGAATACTCTGCAAGACACAGCATTAATTCCACCTTGCCACTCATTGAATAGAAGAAAATGAATAGATAAATAAAACACTTTGCAAAATTTTCATCACAGTTGAGACAACCTGCAGCAATCAAGTTGGCGTGAAGACTTTCCCATTTCCAGAGGCAAATTTAAACTTATAAAACTGACCACAAATATTCAGTTTGCTGCTAGCAAAGTGGTCTGTATTGTAGTGAAGTGGCAATCACCTCCAGCCCACTGGAAATGTTAAGTATAGCCTGAATCTCCTGAACTCAGAGTGTGTTTCTGTGTCACAGCCCCCCTGCAGCGCTTCAGTTTTAAAATCATAATTGCTGCCTACAGCAGAAGCAGAGGAAAATTGAAAAAAAAAATCTACTTTTACGTAAACTAAATGAGAGTCTGAGGATGTGAACAGAGCAACCTCACAAGGGACTCCGAGAGCTTTGAAAGGCAATGATTGTTTTGAAAGAAACAACCGAAGTTGCTGATTGAACCTGTCGTACCCTGATGAACTCCGTGAGCGTGTTGTAGATGTAGGCGCCACGTGGCATGAAGAAGCAGCTGCCGGGGCTGAGATCGTGGAAGAAGAACAGCTCCTGATCCTGTGAGGAAGACAAAGGAAATTACTTTTTAATACCTTCTCATCTGCAGGTATAAGCCAATGAGAAACTCTTTCAAACGCAGCAGGGAGCAATCCAATCATCACACATCAAGGTGACCTCCCAGCTGGAGAGCAGGGTCAACCATTCTTATTGAAGCAAGCAGGAATAAATTGAGCACAGTGATAACAATGGCAAGGCCCTCTGATTTGATAAATTAGGCTCTCAGATGGTGACACCTTGTACCACTTCTACGTATTTCAACAGAGTGTCAGATTGTATTTTGGCACCTAGGGTATAACAAGTTCTTAAAGACTAATAAAAAAAAATATATATATATAAAAATTCAGTGAGGCTTCTAATAGTACACTCGTACGTGAGTGTTGAGTGCAAGTACAAGTCCCCAATAAAGTCTTTCTGGACTCTTTGGTTCAGCCAAAATAACTATTTCATGCAGGTGATGTTCCAAAATCTCAATAAAATATTAATCTATTTATATTCTCAACAGTTTTGTTAAGTAAAAAATATATTTCTGAACATCTAAATGCCTATCAATACATGTCCAGGGTTCATTCTTATTTGTGAAAGCCAATTTGTAATTTATCATATCTTTAAGCATTGATTAACGTGTTAAATTGTGAATGTGACAACTCTTTTATTCACTGGAATGATGATGTGCTTGAAATTTTTTATGTAAAAACTTAAAAGGTTGCTTGTTTTGGATATATGTATTCAGGTCACTATTACTAAAATCAGAGATTATTTACATTTTTCGTCTCTCCAGTCCAAAGAAAGTTTTGGAAAGCTGACATTGATTTCATTCTATATGTTGAGAAAATATCATTTCAGTTGTAATACATTATCTGATAGAGTGACTGAAATGTCATAAACCTAAGTTACTCTAATTTGCGACGTTTTATAAGACAGAAGGCCAGCTGGAGGCTTTTTGAGTTGCTGTGAAGCACTGCCCTAAACAAAAGCATAGAAACGTGCCACAGAGCAAACTCTTTAACCCAACATGGAAGCTTTATACATTATGTGGAAACTCACATTTAATATGGGACTGTTATAATAACGTGCTGACTGAGGACCTGCCGTCTGTATCCTTCATGCAGAGTAACCAGATGGGGTGAATGGACAATTCATAGATGTCCTGCATATGCCAGGATGAAGCAGCACAGCGCCCCCAGCTGGTTTATGACAGGAAGCAGATTTGGATATGAAGGGAACTGTATTGTCTGACCAACAGTAAACCAGCTGAGGTAAAGGAAAAAAAGCTTCAATAAATCTTTTTCTGTGAGATGTGGTTTAAAGTTATTTGACGCATCCACAAAAACAAAACAAACAAAAAAAAACACAGACAAAGACTGCTATTTGAAGAAGATGCTTCAGCAATTATGTTGGTAGTATAATTGCAGAGCAAGAATCATCTCTAATTTTAGGCCTGTACCTGCTGAAAGGGCTAAAATGCATCCGCATATACTGACTCACTTTGCCAATCTTTCTGTGGTCTCTATTCTTGGCCTCCTCTTGAAAGTGTTCCCACTCCTTCAGCATCTTTGAGTCTGGGAAGGAAATCCCGTAGATTCTCTGCAGAGTCTCCATGTCCGAGCGGCCCTCCCAATAGGTGGAGGAGTTCTGATGAGAGATAAAGAAAAAAAAAAAGAAATATTCATCTGAAAAGTACTTCTACCTCAAAATAATGGTCTATTTTATGTTGGTTTATCACCAAAATCCAAACACGTGGCTATACTATGACAACATGTGAACAGGTTCTGAATTTTTTTAAAAACCCAACAACTCTGTACTAACTCTGCTATTTCCACTCACCTTGTATATCTTCAGTGCCTTAATCTTCCCTGTGTGTCTGACATGAGGGCCTCTGCATAAGTCAATCAAGGGCCCACATCTGGAAAAGATTCAGTTGTCGTAAATGACTGCATAAATACATGGATTTAAAATGACTAATTGTTTTTCTAATTTGGAAAAAAAAAGGTCTTGCCTGTAGACTGTTGTAGTCGGGGTGGTAACTTTCTCATTCAGAATGCGACACTTGAATTTGTTGTACTGGAAGTAGAAAAGGCTTTAGATGAAAAACACTAAGCATTCAAAAAAATGTATTCAAAGCTTTTGTGCCTAAATTGATACATGTAGCCTAGATAATTTCTGCCAAGAAACATCCACCCTAAATAACTACTTACTTTAAACATTTTTAGCAGTGTCTCTTTACTGATTTCAAGTCTCTCAAAAGGCTGTTTCTCTTTCACCACACTCTTGCACAAAGCCTCCAAGTCTCCAAACTCTGTGCTGGACACTGACCTGGAAACACCAAACACATTCAGGTCTTTACTCAGAGTTCGAGTTCTGTACTGTTCTGACATTTCAGTCTATCGTCTATCTATCGGCAGAGTGATCTTGTATTTGGACTCTGTTTGTACAATAGGGCTACAAACATTGTTCAATTGGCAACCAAGTTTAAAAATATACGTTAAATATCTAATTTTTCTACAAGTTTAATGTGAACTTGGCAAAATGCAGATAGTTAAAGAGTACTTACTTCTGTCCATCTAGGAACATGTCATAGTAGAAGCCATTCTCTATCGGGGGGCCGTAACACAAACAGCCTCCATAGAAACGCTCCATGGCTTCCCCCAGGATGTGAGCGCTGGAGTGCCAGTACACCTAAAGGTAAAATTAAGATACATGGAGAGCCAGTTTATATCCTTTTTATATATGAAGGATATATCCGTTTTATATAAAGGATATAAAAAAATACATAAAGTTAGAAAAATATTTAAAGCAAATCTCTAAAAACAAATAATTATCAGTTTGAGAAGGAATAGTATGTAAACACTCAAATTTGTTTCAGACAGAAATAGCTTTATTATTATTAAACCTCTTAATTTGCTTATTTGGTTTCATCTCTTCACCAGAGCTTCTCTCAGTGTCTCAATCAAATAAATTCTATAAACTGTTGTAACTCCTGCACATCAGATCCTTTTCATATAAAGCAGCTTTGATGATAAAGTGTTTCTTTTCATAAAACATTATACTTTTTTTTATTGTTGAATTTTTCTTTCCAATAGAATTGATTTAATAATTTTTAAAATCTCTTTGGTAAACATCTTCTGCTTAAGGTCTGTCTATCCCTTCATGTCCCATTTCTCTCTACATTAAAACCAACGTTCAAATCTTTTAGATGTAGCTTAATATGTGAAATCAATCTTAAATAATTTAAGGGGTAAACCTATGATCAACAGTCCTGAAATGCAGGAAACTATTTACAAAATCAGATTTGGATTGGCCTCAATTTTCTGAAAAGAAAAAAAAAAGAAACAATGCACTCTGACATCAATCTTCTTGGTTGGTTTACATTAGCACAACCAAGAAATGTATTGATTAATTGAAAATTACTTTAATTTCAATTGAATCTCTCCTGTTTTCTGTTCTCTTGAAATTTGAAAGAGCAGTTTGTGTACCGTCTTATTATTGTAAAGAAGAAAGTTGAAAAACTGATTCGCCGCAAGTTTTCGTTTGCACTCACAGCTTGAGCATCTTCATTATCAAAGTGCAAGATCTCCAGAGAGCAGTCCTGCTCAAGAGGTCTGTCCAGATCCCAGAGCTCTCCATTAACACGAGAAATCACAGCACTGTCGGCCAGGCCTTGGCTGAAAGACAAAATACACAACACCCTCAGAAAAGTTGCATCCAAAATTATGTCACTGGTTTCCTTCTTTAGATCAATAAAAAAAATATAAAAAAGGGAAAAATTACCTGATATCAGAGGCTATTTGATACGGTGTCGTAACCCAAGACTTTCCTGGAACCTTTTGCCCATCTGTCAACTCAACAATAATGGGTTTACTTTCTGCAGCCTTCCTCGCCAGCAGGCCATCACTCTCCTTTTTAAGCTCCTCGTAGAGGCTGAGGCGCTCGGTAACATATGGAGGCCATGGATTCAGCTTCACAAGGAAAAAATGTAAATGAGAAAAAAACAGCAATCAGTGTCAAAAAAATGCCTGATAAGTATATATATATATATATATATATACACACAAGTTGGTAAGATAAAACTAATATCTTCATGGTTCAACTTGATTTCAATGGTTATTCTAGATTTTACAGTAAATGGTTCTGTCCATTGGTGAGACCATGTACTGTTATCACGTCCCACCTCGACTGTGGACATGATTTATTAAGGGCATTCTCACATTTGTCTTTTTCTAAACTCAACAGGCATTGATGCCAAAGAGATAATATGTCTAACACTAAATAATATTCACTTGCAAGTATGCAAAATTAATAAATTAGCAAGTATATTTCACATAAAATAACTATGATCCAGTAAGATTTACCTCCTTCGTTCCTCCATCCTCTCGTCCTTTATCTTGCTTCTTCTCCTTCTTGTTTTTCTCACTGGGTTTCTTGTCTGGGATTGGAACCTGCTAATGAGGAGAACAAAACTGGCTTTGAAATCAATTAAGCACGAATTGCTTAATTGACATTCAAAAACGCGTTTTTGAATGTCTCTGGCATTTGATCTCTCCAGTGGTCATTGGGGTACTTAGATAAAGGGCTTGACCGCTACCGGACAATTACCTCAGAGCAATTAGGAAAAACCAATTAACACAACATGCATCTTTCTGAATCGGAAAAAAGCCAAAATCCCTGCTTAGAAACCACACGTCTTGTTATAAAAAAAAGATGCGTGTCTCCATTACTGCATGGTTTAATTCACCTGGAACAGTTTCACTCACAAAGCAGTTGTTCATGCTGAACCAACAGCATTAAGCGCAGCAGCGCAGTCATTCTACACAAACACAGTAACTGAGTGGGACAGCTGTCTGTGGACGTGGGGAGGTGTGACCTATTCAGGCCCACTCCACTCGCAATGACTAATAACTGCAACTGGTCCATTTTTTATTCTATATTCCCAATAATTAACCCAACTATAACATTTCAGGATTTATTATTACCCCGTTATCAGTTCGGCTGCCTGTTTGTTGTGGTTTTACGGTATTCCTCTCGGGGGTTCTGCCACACCGTGCTTCTGGTTGTTTCTTTCCCAGCGCCTCTTCCATGTCCAGCTCAGCCTGCAGACCCCTCCGGAGGTGCAGCAACCGGTACCGGAGCTTCTCATTCTCCGCCCGCAGGTTTTCGAGCTCGGGACTTTCAGAAACAACCCCGGCGCAGCCAGCCCCGCCGTTCAGTCCGTCCCGGAGAGCGGAGATCTCAGTGGTGAGAAGCCGAATCTGCTCCTCCTGGGCGCTTAAACGTGCAGCCAAGCAGTGCGCCATCTTTAAATGACCCCTGATGACGTCTTACATCCGGCAAGCATCCGGGAAAAATAAGAGACTTGCTTGAAAATTTTAATAAGCAAAACATATTTAAGATAATATTTACTCAGTAAGTCTGTGGGGAAATTTTGACAAAATATTGCAAATTTGAGGAAAATACTTGCTGTAGTAGTTTTTGAGCGTTCACGATCCTTACATAAAAAAAGCAACATTTGAGAGAACTCCAAGGCAAAATAAGCCAAAACATTAGGTACCTAAAAATTGGTCCCTTTTAGGTGTGGGGAGATTGTTTTATTGATTTAGTTTATGTATAATTTATATTCAGAGATATATTTTATTTTATTTCTATTTTGATAAGTAGCCTACTGTGAACAAGGAATTTTGTTGCGCTTTGCAGAAATGTTTTCAGCTAAAATACACAATTTAACATTAAACATTAAATACTTGAGAGCAATTAGTTGAATGTTACAACATGTAGAGAACAGCTAAGGAATATCTGATGATTGTCTTTTTATTACACTGAACAATTATACAACAATTATATCTATCTATATCTATCTACAGATAGATATATAGATCTATATACTCAGCAAATCTTCCAAAATTATGTTCCCATCAAGCTGCAATAGCAGAACCTTCCACTGGGGGGCAGTAACAAAGTTTGAGACGGAATTCCTCGTCAGCTATCTGTCAGCAGCAATGTAAACATTTCATTCATGTGCGGTGGATTTGCCTACAGGTTTGTGGAAACTGTTTCAATACGTGTTACTTTTTTTTTTTACTAACCATGAAACGTTATGAGTATTTCATTTGTATTTAAAGGGAGCAAGAGACGTAAAACACTGGTGTTGTGTATTTCCTGTGCAGTCAGTGGTGTATCTTAGCTAGCTGTAGATTGTAGCAACAGCTGAAACAGATTTAGTTTTATAAGTAGCCCGTCTGCTGTTTTCTTGTTTCAAAGACTTTAACACATGTATACTCTAAATCGTATGCATGTATCATACTTTCGAGCTACATGAAGCAACAGCTATTAGCAGTTAAATTAACTTAGTATGTTACATACCTGTGTCCAGAGATTCAACGGTGGTGGTTATTGACAAGCCTTCTATGATGTAAATGAGCTATAAAACCGGTGATTACGACAATTTAACCAGTATAAAGCAGAGAGATGAGGATAAGCTGTTGATCTCATCCTCCAACTAAAGGTTGAAGATCAGTGTGTATAATAGTTAACAGCAACTTGTTGACTTTGCATCACAGAAGTGACTGTGGGAACCTCTGATGTTGCTCTGAGAGCATGGCCTCCACCTCTAGTTTTGCCCCTCCAAAACTAGCAGACTTCATCTTGACAGAGCGTCTGGGCAGCGGTACATATGCTACTGTCTACAAAGCCTACAGAAAGGTGAGTTCAAGAAGGAGGAAATTGAAGCCTTTCTGTATATAAGTTAAATGCTTCTTATTATTACTTTTTTCAGATTTACAAGTTTTCTGTTTTGATTTGACTTGATGGGCTTTACTAGTTTTAAAGAGTGATATCTAAGCTCTTCACTGTGATGTAACAGGGGAACAGTCGAGAAGTGGTGGCAGTGAAAGTTGTGGGGAAGAAAACTCTCAACAAGGCCTCAACAGAAAACCTTCTCACAGAGATTGAAATCTTAAAGACTGTGCGTCATCCTCATATAGTCCAACTCAAAGACTTCCAGGTATGTGCTTGTAGAACAATTGCTTTGTAATAACACATCCAATTTTAGCATGTGAAAGTATTTTACACAATAGTGTGTACAATCTTACTCATCAAACAACTTTGTGTTGCTGTAGAGCAAAATGGTCAGGTTTAAATGTCTAACATTTGTTTTGAATGCCATGTATCACTAATTTACAGCTTTTTCTTTTCAGATGTGGTCAGACCTTTACCTTATGGTACTAAGGTAAAGGTCAACTCATGAACACAATGAGTTGTGTTCATATCCATTTCTGAAACTCTATACATGGCAGATAAGTAAACAGTCAGGAGGAGGTTTAGGACAGCATGATTAATTATTAACCTTATCTTTGGATGTCAGAGAACACAAAAGACTTTAAAGACTCTAAAAACAAAACATTTTATTACTTGACAAACTTTGTTCTCACAAGTTGCACCTGCAATTACCTGAACGGTCTGGTTGTGTATGCCCTACTGAAGTTACCTATCCTTGCCAGGCATATGTCATGTTGTGGCCCCTTTCTTCACCTTTGGGTTGTTGATTTATCTATAAATGTTTTTATTATCCAGGGGGAGAAGAGTATTTGCAATTGAGACACTATTTATGCTCACTTATGTTGTGATGTGAGTGCTAAAAGTTGCAATCAGAAGATTTTAGACCTTGTAGCTAATCTTTAGTGTTTTTCTCTTATTTTTTCAGTGGGATGCAGAGAACATTTATTTAATCCTGGAATGGTGTTCAGGTGGAGATCTCTCCCAGTTTATTCGCAGTCGCAGGATTTTACCTGAGAGTGTGGCTCGGCGCTTCCTGCAGCAGATAGGTAAGTCATTCCAAGCCTAAACAACTCATATTTTCAATTGTTACACACATTAAGCCCAACCATGTAAAGAACTATGGTTTGAAATTTTTTCTTTTTTCTGCTTTTGACGTATTTGTTTAAAATGTATACTTTTCTTTTTAGAGCCAGTAGCATTTCTGATCATGTCTTTTTATGTGACGTTTACATATTTGTGCATAAACAGCCTGTGCTCTTCAGTTCCTTCATGAACGGAATATCTCACACTTGGATTTGAAGCCCCAGAATATTCTACTGAGCGGCTCGGTCCTCAAACTAGCAGGTGATCTCATTCCCACCCAAAAACTGAATACAAACCCTTAGGAATTTACTACACAAACAATTAATAGAAGCTATCCCTTGCAAAAGCATGTAGAGTTTGTTTTATCATTTTTACCTTTATGCAGGTTAAAATGACAAACCTCAGGGTTCTTTGTTGGGATTTTAAGGAATAATGTTTACAGAGAACATAGTACTTAATATTTTCACTTGCTGTCTAGATTTTGGGTTTGCCCAGTACATGTCACCGTGGGATGAAAAGAGTGTGCTGAGAGGCTCTCCTCTCTACATGGCTCCTGAGATGGTGTGCAGACGCCAGTATGACTCTAGAGTGGATCTGTGGTCAGTCGGCGTTATTCTTTACGGTGAGTGCTTTTTAAAAAATCTCTTTTGAAATCCTCCAAGTTGAAAAACGCACATCTTCAGATTAGCCATTTATAGTATCTTCATTTGTTAACATGAATTTATATATACTGCTCAGGTCTTGAGCTATGGAATGTGAGCCCCCTCTAATGGCTATTAATAACAACCTGACAGGGCTGCCTTTTCACAAGAAAAGATTAATCACACAAGTGGACCTGCCGGCTTGAAAGAGCGCACTCAGTAGGTCAGAACAGAATTGTACCATTAATCATGTAATGGCAGGCTGGTGAAGGGCTCTTTATAGGATTAATATTACAGTAATAAAATCATAATGTCGCAGTCACAAACTAGACTATTCCTGTTGATTGGAGCTCTTGATACCAGATTGTGTTTGAAAATTAGAATTATTCAGGTAGCTCAAACACAACTTACTACTCAATTTAATTTATTTTAAGCATTATCTAAAAAAATAGCACTTTCACATCAATCTATTAAACTTAGTTCGTTAATTCCTCTGCATTATTATATTCGGTGATTTTATTCCAGTTGGAGAAGCAATGCATTGAATGAGCACACAGGATGATTAACAATTTGCAGCCAGTCTGCGCCACTTGGGACTACTCCTGTTTTTAAATGTTAAGTATACAACATACTGTGGAAATTGGCTAGAATAGAGAGAGGAAATGAAGTGTGACCAATTTGCACTCTGAGAACAAGTACATGTAAAAGATGTAATACAGTAGATGACCTTAAAGGGGTAATACACAGGTAAGTTTTTTGGCCTCAACTTTTCCCTATTTTGAAGGCCAATTTTGCTTACAAGTCTTCACTACCCATTTTCTTTGTTGTTTCATACATTTGTTTATTGATTTTGTATAATTAAAATGCCTTCCATTTCCACTTTAATGTCATCAGACATTAAAGTGTATTGATCTTTCAGAAGGCATATTTGTTATGTCACTTGAAAATGGTCTCAAAACAACAATCGCAATAACTTTTGGGACAATGTATTGTCCATCAAAATTTGTTATTGTGACAGACCTATTAATATGATAAATGACCTTGGGAAATATTAGGAGGATCCACTAAAGCCAGCTTTTACAACAATTTACATATCTTTTATAAAACTAAGCAAATGTTCTCTTTAAGCAAATGTTCTCTTTATGGAAGTTCTTCCTTTTAAACAATATAATAAATTTTCTGGTGGAAGAGGGAATACTTAACTCAATCATGTGCAAAAACACAATTGTGTACACACCCACACTCAAATCAGCAGCATATCTTAAGGGAAAAAGTCAGAGGCACTATAACAAAAGCTGCAAGTTGATTAATATTACTCTGCTTGTTCTTGTTCTTCATGGAGACTCATACAATTAGTATTTGAACTCAGGCTTAAAATGTTGTTTTGTACTGTATAAAGGTCTTAAGCCTCATTTACTTTGCCTTGCAAAAGTCTTCATATCCCATACACCTCTCACATTTTGTTACACTCTAGCTGCAAATTTCAGTGTTTATTAAGATTTTAATAACAAACACTAAATGTTTCAAGTTGTTTTTATTAAATCAAAATACAAAAATAACATTTGCTGGTCAGTGTTAATGGGAGGATTGATGGAGTTAATATGACACAGAAAAATTGTGATAGAAAACCTACCAGAGGGGCAGAAGAGTTGAGACCGAGACAGAGGTTACCTCCCAGCAGAACAAAGACCTTAAAGGGGACATATTATTCAAAGTTCACATATTGCACATTTTTGTGCTTCCATTTTGGTCTCTACTGCTTGTAAAAACACCCCATGCACTCAAAACTGGCAATAAATTCATATGTTTTGGTGTCTGAAAAATTTTGATTTAAAGTGGGAAGAGATCCTAAAACTGGAGCACTAGGCTAAAACTCCATCATAGCACTGTTTATTTTACATTTAAAGTTGCTGACAGATAATATCAGATTGATGTCATTAATTTAGTTTGATTTGATGAAGAATCTGTCAGTAAATTTCTCTCCATTATTTCTATACACGCAGAGGCTCTGTTTGGACGAGCTCCATTTGCATCAAAGTCATATGCTGAACTGGAGGAGAAAATACGAAGCAATCAACCAGTCGAGGTAAACATTTACAATTTAAACTAATTGCAGTCAGTTCTGTTCTTCCAAACAGTGCCAGATTTGAACATTGTCTGGAATAGTACCAGTAAAATTGTTTTTAAATTGCGCTCTTTAATTTCTTAATCCGATATAATCAGACTGAGTAGGAATGAGAGAAATTAAAATTTCCTACAGGCATCAGTATCGCAATATTTGAAGCTTCTTTCTTGTCAATCTGCCTTTATACCACTAGATGGCAGAGATTTTATATTTGTGGAGGACTGGTTCCATCCATTACATTTAGAAAGCCTGTTTGGGATAACATCTACAACAGGTTTGTCAATGAAGAGAATTACATATTGAGATCTGACGTTCAAAACTACTAGTTAGAAGACAACGTGTCTGAATGTTTATCATATATGTCTTCAGATGTGCAAAATATTTTTTTAAACAAAAAGTTAGTTCTGTTTATGATTTCTTGTACATACAAAATAAATCCTGTTTGAATTGGGCATCGGGAACTTCAGCCTGTGTTTACTTTTGATGAAAAAGTGCTTTCATGTCAAGTGAATTCCCAAGTAAGCATTAGGCTTTGATGTGTGGAATCACATTAGAGCATTGTGCATTATCTAGGGATCCACATTGACTCTAAAGGTCATCTTTTTTCAGAATGTAGAGATATAGGACACAAGGTTCTGTGCTAACAAAGCACTGTGCTTTCTATTCTTGGATCATCCTGTGAACTGCGTGCAACATAATAAGGTTGTGTTTTGTGCATTAGCTCCCTCCTGGGGCCCGAGTCTCCAAGGACTGCAGAGACCTTCTGTTGAGGCTGCTGGAGCGAAATCCAGATGCCCGGATCACCTTTGAGGAGTTCTTCACTCACCCTTTTTTAGATATGGAGCACATGCCAAGCGCAGACAGCATAGTGAAAGCAGTAAGAGAAGGAGAAGACATCAGCTTGTGGACAAACTAGCACCACAAACACTACAGGCCAATTATTATTTTACATGGTTTTAATAGTTCACATTGACAGATGTTTCTTTCTCATTGGTATTTTAAGAAAGAGCTGGTACTGCAGGCCGTGCAGAAGGACCAGGAGGGAGAGCGCTCTGAAGCACTGTCTTTCTACTGCAGTGCCCTCGAGCACTTCGTCCCCGCCATTCACTGTAAGGGCAAGATATACTTTCATATCCTGTCTGTAGCTTATCTTCTACACAGCACGTTCTTTGCACTAAAACAATAAACTGAGAAGGAATGCTCATTCTGGAATATTTCCACTTCTTCCTTAGATGAGACAGACCGACAGCGTAAAGATGTCCTCAGGCAGAAGGTATGCCTAAAGGAACTTTTCATACTGTATTTGCAGCATGAATAAGTTATGCAAATAATTTTTTATGTCAGCCACATAAACTCAGAGTTAATATAAAGGATTAAACAAGGATCAAAGATAATTTAACTAGGATTATGAGAAGAATCATTGTGACAATAATTTAAAAGTAATTCTTCTCAAGCTAAAGTATATTTACTAAAGTATATTTACTAATGATTTAATTAAGCAAAACAAATGCACAAACAAAAAATCAGAACAGAAAATAGTAATTCTAATATTACTTTAAAAAACATTGCCAAAAGGAGGCAGTGTTGTGACTAACTTTCAAAATAACGTTTTAAACTAAATTTATCAATATTTTATTGATGTCTCAACATCCTGGAGAAATAAACTCATAGACTAGTTTTAAGTTCAAATACATAATGTTAATATACATTCAAATATACACATACATAATGGTGGGGTGAAAGAAACACAAGTTAGATGAATCTCAAGTTTTGGAGTCACTTCGATTGCTCAGGTTTCAGCAACAAAAACATGGCTAGAGAAAGAATTAAGCACCATGGTTTTAATTTACCAAGGAATGAACAGCAAACCTCCAATTTATGGAAGAAAGGCAAAAAAATATATTTTTCTGCAGCAAAACAAGATAAATGTGATAAAATAAATGTGTTCAACCAAAACACTTTACAGATCCCAGCTTTTCTCTTGGCAGTGTGTTATTCCAGTGGAGGAGTTGTCAAGGCAACCAATCAGAGGCAGTCTTGGGGTAGCCCAAGAGATTTATCACATTTGACAGCTAATAATAACTTGGATTCTATTACTTTCTCTAAATCACATTCTTTAGCCTGAGATGGAGAACAAATATCCTGAGTGTATTACTCTTTACAAAATAGTTTGCAGTTACTAGGCCTGTCTCTTCTCTTTTTCAAGCATGGGTTTTTATACATCACTCACTATTTAAAGTTACAATTAAGCAAGGATTATTGTAAATCTTTTATGGGTTTTTTTTTTTCTTCTCAATTGATAAAATGACATCAGAGTGATGTTGACATATGATGGCAATCAAACCAATTTCTTTTTTGAGCGCCACAGCTGTTGAGGTTTTAAAACATTTGTATTTCAGAGATTTGTCCACCTGTGTCAAAGAACAGGATATCGTAAAGCCAATTATGATATGTTGCTGAACACTACAAATAACAATATATTCTCTCTATCTGCCCTTTTTAGTGACATGCAGTGTAAATGGAAACATGTTTTGTTGATCACAGAAGTCATAGTAAGGGTTCAACCCACAGGTCAGGCAGTATGTGTCGAGAGCTGAGGAACTGAAAGCCCTTCTCGCTTCGGACAACAAGCGCAGCTTCGAGGAGGCTAAGACATCCAGAGATGTTCTCCGAGGTAAAGAGCATACCCCTTGTCTTTGTTTCCAGATAGTTCTTAAAACTATTTTCCAGAAGGCTTATCCATGTGGGCAGCTCCAAATTTATGTTCATTTAAGTGAAACTTATTGGTAAAGGTTAGGGATGCTCTGATCAGGTTTTTTGCTGCTGATTCTGATACCGATCACCCATGAGGCCGATCTTTGGCGATCACCAATCTTTGCCTATCGCCTGGATTGACTGTTTGTTTTTCGCATTAGTTACAAATGATGCTATGTGATCTGGCAAAATTAAAAAATGATCTGCTGACAAATTCACCTAATTAATAAAGTAAACATGCAACATACTTGCAGGAACATCCTTGGTTGAACAGCTACTCATTCAAAAGAACAACTGAAAAACCTGCAATCAGTTAAACATTTAACAATAAGGTTCTCTGTGCCCTAAAGCACTTTGAACTGACTTATTGCTGAAATGTACTATCCATATAAACTTGATTGATTTGTTGGTATCTTAAGAACTTGCTAAGGGGCAATTTGTATGGAGAAAATCTGCACTACATTCAAATTTGGAACCCAGTTTTTTTTTTTGTTTTGTTTTGTTTTGGGGTTTTTTACTGAGATTGTGCATCTTCCGTTTATTCCACCCTTGATACAGTTAGTTCATGGGTGGACTAACTCAGTTCAAATATCAATGTATTCAAATACTAATGTATTTCAACTGAGGAGAGTTCAAATACATTATTGAAACCACCAAATTAATCTTGGTGACATTTAATATTCTATATGAACTACTGACTTTAACTTTATGCACTATTTTTCTGCTTTTTTTTTATGTTGTTGATAATTTATCCAAATCATGAATCCTTGCTGTTTTTAGCAGTCCTTTTTATGAGTTAAATGACTGTGAGGTGTAAGCTACTTTTTTTTTCCACAGGCACTATTACTGAATTTAGAAATTTATTTTATTTATTTATTTTTTTTTTATAGAAATGTCTAAAAACCAACCACGTCTCCTGGCTGCCTTGGAGATGGCTTCTACAGCTATTGCTAAGGTGAGACACTGAGAGACGACATCAAGGGCTTTTGAAGAATGTTCTTGTTGGTGTCGCTGGGAAGAGACTAAAAACATTTTCTATACCAATAAAAAATGGAAACATTTCCCCAAAAAGTTAGGAAACAATACACTCACTATTAAGACAGCTGTCCCAGGTTCCTTTTCAGCCTATAACTCCTACAAAAATGTATTCTGTTCCACTTTGTTTGAATAAAATACTGCATGTTTAATTTACTTTTGAAGAGATAAAATAAAAAGAATCCACAGAAAAGAAATATCAATGCACACTACACTTTTCAGAGTTTCTTTAGTCAGAAGGTTTGAACATGATCCTTATGATTTCGCTTCATCCCATATGCATTTCCAATTTAATAGAGTGTGCATATTTTTTCCAACAGTTTCACAGAACCTTTAGAAAACCAAGAATGAATAAATAAGTAATGTGATTTTTGTGGAACTTGTTTATTGTGATTTGATTTGGGCAGTATCAAATCAGGTTCTGATCATCTAAATCTGCTTTCATAGGAGGAGAATGAATCAGATGATCTTGAAGTTTTGGATATGTACCAGCAATGCTTAGGAGAGCTGCTGTTGGCATTAGCAGGTAACCAAATGCATTTATTGCATAATGTTCTGAATTTATTGCAATATTCCATATTGCATTAATACTGATAAATTAAGCTTAATTTATCAGGTGAGTTCACTAACCCTTACCTGATAAAGAAAATACAGACTTCTGAACTTATCTGATATCAAAGGTAAGCTCAGGAACGTTATAGGAAGAAATGTACACTATTTTATTTTCCCAAAACGTATTATTCATCTGCATTCTGAGACTGAGCCCAGTGATGGGGGAAGGATTGAAAAACGTATCATATTGAATATTGTTGGTGAACAAGTGGCATAACATTTCCTGTTTAATCCATTGCTTTCAGTCCACCTTGTGTTTATTTTGAAGTAGTTATGAATGATGGGGCGAAATCTTAGCTGCTCCTGCACAACTTACTCAACATGTTGTTGCTAGGTAACCAAATAATAAGTGAGTGATATGATGTCACTCATCTTAGCGCGAGAGGTTGATTGACTAAAGCCTGTCCTCTGCCTATATCCCCCAGAATGCTCTGTGGTTCTGGATTGGAGTTCAATGAATATTCTCTATATTGAATATCGAATTTTCCATCAGACGTATTTTCTATTGATTTTTATTATGAGTCTATTGCAATATATAATTTAGATTTTTTTGTCCAGCTTTAGAGGGGGAAGGGCTTCTTTGTTATAAATGAGGTTACAAGTTTGCTAAACAATGCAATACTACAGAAATCATATGTAGATAGAAAGAGGCGAAACTTCAAATGTGAGATTAGTTCACTAGGATGGAGCAATGAAGATTTGGGGTCTTTTAAGTGACAGACGTGGGAGTAACTGAAGACACTCCAGCAACTCACTCTGTGGCTTGGCGTCCATTAGGCCTGGTTCATGAGCTCATCTGGGAGATCAGCCTAATGGAAGAGGTGGAACAAAGTCATCCAGATGTGGCTTTGAGCTGGGATGAGACCGGCTGCCAGTGCCCTGTGTGTGGTATGAAAGCCCTGCCATCTGCTTCCACTTCATACACCATATTTCAACTGTGTGTGTTACTGAAACCTGGAGACAAACAAAAACTATTATCCCAGTTACCACAACTATATTGCTTAAATGTGTTGTGGGGATGAAACTGAAGAAACTCTTTATGTAAGCATCAAATTAGATATGCTTAAGAAAGGTCTCCAGGTTGTCCATGGAGAAGTAATTCCTGTTTCTCCACTGTCAGGGTGTGTTGTTGTCCAGCAGATTCCACCACAGTGATTGTTGGGAGAAAACATTGGTTCTTTGTTCACCCGAAAGCTCTTTGCTGCTCAGCTCCCCAGTGCACCTCCCTGCCACAGAGCCCTCCTCCTTATTCTCCTCTTTCTGCCACTCTACCCTCCAGCACAACCGACTGTGAAAACAATGGCTTAGATTAGAAAAGTTTCCACTTCTTCAGCCTCCAGTCAAAACGCTAGTGAAATCCAATCTAGTAGTTTGCCTCACAAAAGTGATAAGGTACTAGACTCCCTACCTATTTTAGTTTCATTATTTCTCTGCTCTTTTTGTGTTTTATCCCACTCTCTACTCAATCCAGCTGAGCCCCAGGGTCGCAGGAGAGAGCTGCTCCACAATGAGGTGAGTGGGTGAAGCAGTGGTTCCACTTTTAGCACCAACAATCTCGCTGAGAACCATCACATGAACCATATTTGTTTTCCTCAACATTAAGGAGGGGGGGAAACAACATAAGTCATGCTCCATAATTATTATCACACATTTGGATCAATCTATGATTTTAAATATTTATGTTAACTATGTGTGAAAGCAATCATAGTTTCTTGCCTAAACTAAATTGTACAATTATGGATAATATTTTACATCCATAAAGTGAGTTATTCATGTAATTAAGTTTCACAGCTCAGGAACTTTTTTTTTTCCTAACCATGATTGGTCTAATCAGGTTGTGTTTTGGCTGTTTTGCAGTTTTCTGGAAGTTTGTTCCAGATTTGTACCTATCTACATATACATTTGCTGTGCTGTGAGAGAGGGCCTACTGACAGACTCACCCACCAGGTCACTTTTTCATGTGCGTGGTTAATAATAGTCACCCCACTATTGCCAACTTATCAACTTTGTCGCTATATTTAGCGATGGTTCAAACTAAAAAATCAGTATCATCCCAAATCACATCAGGCTTTTTAGCGATTGTTGATCAGCCAGAAAACTGCAGTCGGTTCACCCCTAGTAAACACATCATCACAAATGAATTTTATAGAGCCAGTAAAGTGTGTCAGTGAAAATGAGCCACAGTTGTTGACAGTTTCTTTAATTGAACACATTCAACTATTATGTCACATAAAAAAATATGGTTCATTGTTGGGTCATTCCCTTTCAGCTAACGCTTACATATATACCTACATAGCTGTCGTATCAGATTTATCTTGTCAACGCAGCTTTATGAGCTGCAACTGGATGTGTCCTCTAAAAGTGCAGATACTGAACACGTGAAAAACTGTCTATTTTTTCTGTGTAATAAGACTTCACATGACCAAGACAAACCAAGCTATGAAAATAATGGCAGAACTCTGAGATATTTCTGCAGCAGTTAAAGTCGCCAACACCACAGCACCATCTATAATTCTCATATGGCAGAGAGAACCACGAGCTGCCATCCTCAATTTGACTGCCCAGCCAAAATTAGTAATTAGGCATGAATGACCTTTATCAGACATGTAATCAGCATACCAAATTTTACTCAAAAATATGACATCTCAGGCTGTTATAGCAGATCGAGAGCATGCTAAATTTGAGTTTCCAAAACTGCTTGGCTGCGACATTATAGAGCTCTGGTGAGAAAATAAATTTTTGTATAAATTTATATATAATGAAGAAAAATGGGAAATTCTTAGAATCAAATAAAAATATCACAAAATTCTTGCATGATTCAACATTTTGATCATCTAGAAAGATTACATTAGAACAGAAACATTGCCTCAAAATCCTCAAATGAGTCTTTTATTACCTGTGTAGGCTTGCCGTTGATGCTCTGTAAGTGTTTTCTTTTGGTGCATTGTTTATGTAGCAGCTGAGCCAACAAAACATCATATTTCACCAACCAACCCCAAGAGGGAGGGCAAGGCCCTCATGGACCTCCCTGTTTGAAGTTTTATGGGTGCTTGCCTTAAGTAAATTCAGATGCGGTTGTCATAATCTAATGCAGCATCGGGAGGCGGTGTTTGGAAAGAGAGGAGTAAATTAAAAGCATGTGGGTTTGTTACAACCCAAAACAGCCGACACACGCTGCCTCAGTTTGTGTTCACAACTATTTTAGAAAATCCTGCTTTTAGAGTTTCTTATTCTGGCTCCTCATAGTTATTATTGTCCTGGTGTCTTTCAGTGTCATGTTCCGCTTACACATGTGTGGCTCCCACATTTGTTGTTGTTGCTGATTAGAGGGATCCTGATTAAAGTCCTGTGGGGAGATAATATCAGGTTCGGAACCGGATCCTGAGAACCGGCGGTTAAAATGATTATTGCATCTAATGACTCTTGAAGGAAAGTTGCAGAGCTCTTAGTTGTTTGCAGTTTGTTAGTCCAATCTTTAAATGTTGCTGCAGCTCTACCCAAGAAGGTTTGATGACACATGGAGGTGTTACAGAGTCAAGAACCTTCTGGATCACCAGAGGATTTATAGCAACCTGCTAACAGCTGTTATGTTTAAAGCATGATCTATAAAAAATAATAAAGAAAAATGTGGAAAACCTTAGCAAGAGTTAGAAACTGTAGTGAACACACCCTTGGTTTCAGCGCGCATAATGTTATTCATGGGAACTTTTATGTCTCTTCTCAGATAAAAAGCCTCATGACCCGAGCTGAATATCTTAAGAAGCACATTAAGGTAAAATATACCAATTTTATTATCTAAGGACAATTACTTATTTTGACTTCTTTTTAAATGGTAATAAAGTGGTTCATAGAATGCTGATGATGAACTTAACTCCAGTAGATTGTTGTTTGTCTTCATTTTCAGATGGAAGAGACTGAGAGGGATGTGTCTCTGGATCGGGAATCTTTTGCAGAATCTGTCAGAAGCTGTGAGTTTTCCTGCTATGCAGAGTAAACCATTTCATTAAACCAACAGCCTTGTACTCCAGTGTTTGCTGATAAGTAAAAACATAGCGGGGCTGTTAGAGGAATGTGGCAAGCATTTGGTGCCACAAACTGCAATAAAATATCCTTTCATTAACGGTTTTTCCACTGGTTAAATATGAGCCAGCGTCTTGCTGTGTTGCTTGCCACCCTGTAGGGCGTTCAGGCTCTTTGATTTTGCTTTTGGACAGCTCTGTGCAGCTCGGTGCTCTTGGAAAGCCCGACTTGTGAAAATGAAATATGATGTAAAAAAATTCTGACCCTTAAAACACAAACCCTTGGAGAAATAGCAGCTTCTTACTTCTATTAAATACTCAGTGGCTGGATGTTGTTACATATTTTCATATGCAGCTGGACCACAACGTATCATTACTTGGTTTTTAATATACCTGGATCTCCACAGTGGTTACATATATAGACAAAGTCCTAATTCAGAGTATTTTCTGGGCTTAACTCCAAGATAGGGGATACCTAAAGCCCAGACAATATCCTGTTCTCAGGAATAAATTCCTTAGGAATTATGAATTGTAAAAAAATAAGGAAAGAAGTCAGCAGGCTGCTCAAGCTTTATGAAGAATGTGGCTTCTTACCCTGCCGCTGTTGTTTTAATGAAACCAAACTACAGTCGGGCTTACCAGCTGGCCTGGATCCAATAGCAGCTGCTCCAGAGTGGGTCGCAGCAACGCCCATGCCTGTCTGGTGGCCTGGGACTGCACGAGAATATGCAGCAAAATGCTGAGAATCATCACACTGTAACCCTGAGACAGCAGAGCAGCAGGCACTGTTCTTTTTTTATGACGAATATAGCCTCTCCTAAAGCACAAAAGACCCTCAAAGTCTTGTTAACTGAGGGCGCATGGAAAGTAAGGAACAGAGGGGGCAAAAACACAAAGTTCCTCTCACACAAGTGGAAATCTCCCAAGGTGTAGACTGTTCCTTCAAGAGTCGCCACACTCAGACTGACTTACAGGCTGCAACTCTCACTGCTTGTGTAAAGTCATTCCAGAACCTGGAGGGGTAGAGTGAAAAAGGACTGGGCTGTAGGTCACTAGTCCAAAGTTTGTATGTAGTATTCTGACTAATAAACTGAATTATGGAGTTTAATTAAATGTAAACCATATTCCTCAAAATCAAATGAGATAAATGCATCACTATGCATAACACATTTGTATAATTAATGACTTTTTGTTATGGATCACTGAAATCAATTAACTTTTCAATGGTATCATCGTCACATAATGCATAATGACAAATGTGATTACCAGCCTGTCCTTATGAATTACCTAAAATATGATGGGAAGCCTTTTTATTTGGAGCGTCTGGCAGTGATGACTAACATGAGTCTCCTATTCCTTTTCAGCATGCAGTTTGCAGTGAGTGGGGCAGCAGCTGTGAAACCCAGGAATGCCCTGTAGGTCGTCCGTCAATGTTCAGGATGGACACCACACCAGGCCTTTATAGGAGCCAAAGCAGACCACATCCTAACCAACTGAGTATACTATCTGGGTGGGAAGTGACAGTTGCCAACCAAAGGTGTACAATGTTTTGGGTGCTGCTTTAAAGGTCCCTAAACCAAATGAATTGGCAGGTAAAAGACTTGGTTTAAATGTAGTTTCATTTTTAATAAGGGAGACTGGAGGGTGCTGAAGTCCTGAAAGTAGCTCTTGAATTTTGGATTTGCACACTGGTGAATGTGAAAGTTTCCTGCCTTTCATTGTGTGTTGTTAGCGAGCTGAGCCTCAATCCCCTCCTCCAGACACACCATTGATATGTAAATTCTGGACAGCTTGTCTGACAATGCCAACACTGTTATGCTAAATGAGTTAAACTGAGACCGCTGCATTAGTTATCACAGGACATCTACAGGTCCTTTCAGCATGCTTAAGAGTTGCACAAAATGCAAACGTAATCGAACATGAACTGTAATATTTAATCACTGGTGTTTAGAAATGAACTGTTAACTAGACAAATTTGTGGGTCAACCACAGGCTCATCATGCTCTCATCACTGACTGAATCCTCATCAGAGGTGTGGCTCCTGCTTCACTTGCACTGCCGTCGTGTTTAGGTTTGGGTCAGGATCTGTATCTGAACTCCTCACAAATCCTTCAAGGCTTCTGATAAAGATTAACAAGTTGAACCGATATGCTGAGTTCTTGAGTACGTTGGCTCCAGCTGTAAAAATTGTTCCTAAAGGGAAGATTTTAAGGCAGCAGCAGTTTCCACACTGCTGTATGGTTTACCTTTTTTTAAATGAAATACCAAACCTGTTTTTATTGTGTATTTATTGGGAGGCAAAATGACAATAAAGATGCATATTATACAAAAAAATCAAATCTTCAAAGTTAGTTTTTTCTTTTCTGCCCAATTGTTGACACCACATATTAAGACATATGAGACATTTAAATTTTTAAATGTCTGCATATTGGTCAATCTTTGAAAGCAAAACTGCTGGGATCATATGCTAGAGCTCAGCATGGACCCCATGGTGTCGGCAGAGTATGCTGGAAAAAACAAAGATGTTATGAGAAATTACTGATATGACTGTTTTGAATGGACAGAGACTGAAACTAAAAACTTCCACAATAAATTATATTTAACTTCATAGACTAATCAGTTTGATATTTTTGTATATCAAACTGAAGAAGGAATTTGTGCTTTTTTATGTTGCAATAACTTTAATGTCAAACAAATCACAAGTGGATTTAAGTATATTTCTCATGACGAATCAGTGGCAAGATGAACTAATCCTATTATGCTCTTACATATTAAAGTTTTATAAGGGAATGAGCTTTAAACTTTAAAGCTGCGGTATGTAAATTTTATAAGAAATGCTTTCTACATATTTGTCAGAACTGTTAGTATGTTGTGACATTACAATATGAGACATCTCTGAATAAATTGAGTTCCTCTGCAAATGGGCATGCTGTCATCTGCACAAATACACTGCACTGTCAGAAACAACTAATAAGAGCCAAGAAGAAGATCTTGGCACTGTCAATCTCCCTCGTGTATTCGCTGCTCCTCATGTGTTCTTAAATAAGCAAAATAAATTTTGACATATATTGGATGGGAATCAACACAAAAAATTTTGAAAATCTTTTCTTTGAAAGCTTCTCCCATTTGTTTCATTAAGGTTTAAATTCTGTCAGTCTGTATGTTGTAAAATAATCGTTGTCTTTTCTGCAAGAATTTTTCCATGAAGAACTCGGATTTGAAATTTCTGGCTCAAAAACTGATGAAGTCCCAGAAAACTCAAGACGCGTTCCACCTGTCACGCCAGCTGTAAAAACTTTTGTTGTAAAAGCTTTTGTTGTAAAAGAGAGAGAAGCGCAGCTCCGATTTGAAGCATCCAGGACAGAGAACCATGCGGCTCGTAGCTCTAATTGGCTCTGAGTGCCATCACCGTTTGGCTTGGCGTCTTTGCTTTAATCAGGACATGAACAAGTTGCCGCCAGAAAAACTTTGGCTCCATTTGTGGCCCTTGTGATTTCTTTGTTGCTTAATTCTGGGAGTGCTGCCAATTTATGCTGCCCCACAAAACAAAACAAAAAAAAGTTTTTTGAATGTTCTTCCAGTAATACAGCCCAGGGAAGAGCATCTAGAGATGGGAAACATAACCCAGTTTTCCCCCGAACCACAATATGTATCTTTGTGGCTCTGATTGGCCTCCATTTTGTTTCAGCTCCAATCGCACGAGAATTCCCCATCTCTCTTCCCTGAGTGGACCTGATATCAGTGTTCTGCACAAACACAGGTCTCTGCAGTTTGGACTGGCTAACCTGGACCTCATGATCCCCACACAGAGCAGGCTGGTCATTCACTGTGCTCCAACAGCTGTCATAAATGGAACATTGTGTTCTTCTTTTAGACAAGAGCCTCGAAATCCCTGGGGTGGCTCTGACTCTGGAGTCGTGGAGAGAAGAGTGTGGGTCTTTGGAGCTGGGGTGGTTGGGTTGAGGGTTGTTTTAAAGGAATGTTGAATAAAGATAATTTAGAAAATGGGCTCCAGCACACTGCTGCCTCTGTAACCCCACCAAAAACACTCAAGTCCCCAAGGCTTCTCTGGCCATGTTTGTTTTGATTTTGCTCCCAGAATTGGCTGGAGGGAGGCCAGGAGGGATTTGAGGGGGCGGGTTGGTTGTTTTGGAGAACCTTGGGATGCATGGCAGTGATTAAGACAGACTGAACTGAAGACAGTCTCTGTAAACTGCATGTAATAACGCAGCTCTGTCGCTGTGAGTCACTTTAAATCACTCTCACTGTCACAGGGCCATCCCTTAGTTAAAACAAAATTAAGACAATCTGCTCAGTGCCTGGAGTCACAAAACTCTACCACCTGTTTGCTCTAATGGGGTGGAATGCAAAAGTCTTTTCACAGCATCAACTTCTATATATTTAGACAAACAACTTCAAACTTCAATGTATTTGATCGAGATTTTATATAGATGAACACAAAGTAACATGTAATTGTGGTGGAGTGCCTGTGTACTCAGTCCTGTTTACTCTGATACCCCTAAATAAACTAGTGCAACCAGTTACCTTCAGAAGTGGTAGAGTCTATCTGTATGTAATTTATGGTTATTATACGTGCAGCTGTTTTTGAAAGAAAGCCTTAAGAAGTCACACTTTGCCATTTTTAACAAGCTGGTTCGACAGCATGCCACACTTTTCAGACTATTTTTTATTAATAAAAATTGTTTTAAGCTTCGTGGCATTTCCCTCCCACTTCACAATTGTCCACTACTTATCGCTTGATTGTCACATATCAAAATAACATACATTGTAGATTTTGATTTTAAGATGGCATGACTGTGTACAAACAGTAAAAATACTTCAACAAGGCAATATGCCAGCCTTCAAACAAATGAGGGGTTTAGCCACTATTCTTTCCCACCTGCTATCGCCCGTTCACATTTGTTCTGCTCTGACAGAAAGTACACAACGGATCAGTTGCTCACACTAAGCAGCAACACCTAATGGCTCTTTTGTAGTTTGTCAGTGACTTGTAGATATCTTAGAAGGCGGGGAAGAATCCCCAAATGGCAACTCGCTTTTAAAGTGGGTCATATTGTTGACGTCCGAAATGCCAAGTAAAGCTTTTAGCAGTTTTTCTTACAGGGCTGATGGTATCATTTTAACTGAAGCCTTAACATAGACTCCTGAATTGTCATTTGTTTCCACTAAAAGTGGATTGAGCAATGACTAGACACTTAAAATTCCTCACTAGGTTTCAGTTACACCGACCTAATCCCTTAAGAATCAGCATTGAAAACAGCCACATGCAGGGCTTAGCGAGACAGTGTAATGGACAGACATGACAGACAGTTTGACCAACGATTAATTCTTATTTTCGGCAGTCATTTGTTGCATTTTGTGGTGTCAATCAGAGCATGAGGATATACTGACAAACCCCTTGCAAAAAAGTATAAATCCTTTACCTGGAAGACATCAGCTGTTTGAATAAAAAGTCACAGATATGACAGAAACTTAAAAAGTTGCAGTAATTAATGGCAGAAAGGTCAGACTAGAAAAATCCTCACCACGTAAAGAGAAACAAAACATTCTAGCGGGTTAAAAAGAGGCAGTGAAGGAAAAAAAAACAAAAAACTATTGTGCCACAATGATTGAAAATAGAAAATTTGATGAAGTGATTTTTTTCCAGGACAATAATGTCTTGGCAATCAAACAGTTTTCTGAGGGGAATCAGATACAACTCAATGATATGACTAGAAAACAATTTGAATATCTAGAATGTTACTGAAAATGTTAAAAAAATAATTGCCAACCAGCAGATCTGTTAGTTGCAATAGTCCAACTATTAAAGAGAGATAATCTGGTGCTATATCTTCAACTTGTTCTGTTTGCTACAAAATAAATCAAATAAATGCACATGATAGATGACTGTTTTGTTTTTTTTTTCAGTTGCTTTATCCTTTCCCCATGCCTTGCAAAAGTGGTTGCACCTGTTGATCGTTTTACATTTTCTCATGTCGCAACAAACCTCTATGTTATTTATTGTGGTTTAATGCGATAAAGCAAAACAAAGCAAGCCATAATTGTGAAGTGAAAAGGGAAATAATACATGAAAAAAATTAAGAGTGGGGTGCAGTTGTGTTTAACCCCACTGAGTCAAAACTCAGTGGGGTTAAACTACCTTTTGTTCCAATCAGCTCCAAATGTTTGTGGTATCACTACAGGCTTTGCACCTATTCAGATTAAAAATTCTCCTTGGACTAAATATATGACAAACAAATAATAACCCAGACATATTGTCTTTAAAACTCCATATATTGATTCATTCCTTTGTCAAAACACAACATGACACTTGTTTAGGCCATACATATTTCATTATAAAACCTCCATGTGGAAGAGCTTTCTGAATTCATGTTATTGCTACTTTTCTAGAAACAATGCAAAGCTGTCTGGTTTCTTCACACTGAATCTGATCTACATTTGTATGTTTATCCTAACCGGATGTAGGTAAAACCTTTTTTTTACTGCACACATTTGTAAAATGTTCTTCATATTCTAATTTATAACTTAACACACAACATAGTTCAACATTTAATTTCAAGTGGCAAAGATGGCACTGCACCTTTCCCTCCATGACTAAACAGCTTAAAACAGGTGGATGAGGAAGTGATGGGATGAGAGTAAAAAAAAAAACACTGGTTTGAATCACGCTTTCTATTGGTGCAGACATTTAAATGGGTCACATTAGCACCTCGGTTTAAATGCGGCTAATTCACTCAGCCTAAAACTAGCACTGTAAAAGCATTCAAGGCACGTGTTTGAAAGCAATAAACCTCACTGTGAATTTGTGCAAGTGACAATCTCTTGTGCTAGTTTGGGCTTTGCCTGTTTACAGACATTTACAAAAGAAATGGGTGACAAAAAAAAAAATCAATTAAGATATCCTTAAATAAGACACAGAAACACACATTTAACTCTCCACGGTGCCTGGATGCCTCAGTTCTTCATTTTTTTAAATGTTACATTTGCATAACGTTTTAACATAACTGTGAAGTGTGTATTGTAATGATTTTACTCCACTTGTGTTTCATATTTTCCAATAAATGAAGACATCTCCTTGTGCTTTAAACTATAAATTGGGTTCAAAGAAAATTCTGCTTTTTGATGACTTCAGCAAATGCTGAGAACAAAATGCAGACATTTTATGTTCACCCATTTTGGCAGCTGACAAATTTTCTCAAAGTGTCGTAGCCATGTGAAAGCAATAATAAAGTCAGGGAGCTTTTAAAAGCTTTTAGGGGGTCCGGGCTGCAGAGAGAGGGGTGGGGAAAAGTCAGGAAGAGTTCAATAAAACAATCTCGGATGGGGGAGGGGGCCAAGCAGAAGTGCTCAAGAAGCACTTCAGTTAATTTAAGTAGTCAGACCCACACCCTAGCCTGTCCGGGTTCCCACAAATATTTGAAGTGTGGTTACTGCAACAATGCTAAGGCCTCTGCAGTGGAGAGGAGAGCAAACAGAGGCTGGATGGCTCCAGTGTTTGTCTAAAGTCTTAATAAAGCCACACTTTAAGAAGCAATGAAAGCTAACCAAATAAACAAGAGCTGTTTAAAGGCACTCAAAATGTTCCCAACAAAGTCTCCTATCACGTAAAAGAAAATAGTTAAGGCATTTTTGACAACACTTCTGCGCTCCATGTCAGGGGTCCCATGATGAGGCCCCCTGTCATCATGGGGTTTGCACTCTCAGAGAAAAAAGTTTCCCTTTGATTGATAGATCCAAACATTCCAGTCGGCCATCCTCAGAATAATATCCATAGAAAGACAAACATCATGAAGCTGGGTAACCTCTGGCACGCAGAGGATCTGTCAGTGTAACCCTCCTCCCTGTCAACCTTTCGATCATCATCCTCATCGTCGTAGATCTCCTCAACTTCAGGTTGATCAGAAGCGACGCTGTGGTCCTCAATGGAGCAAAGCTTGCTCATGTTCTCCTTGACCACCTCGCAGAAAGGTCTCTCCACGCCGTCACAAACGCAGCGGTTCAGCAGCATGCCGTTCGGGATGAACAGCATCTGCTGGATGGTGGCCTTGCACCTGGAGGAGCACCGCCTGCCGTTGAACAGCTGCCCGCAGTACGACAGGTAGGCCGTGAGGGAGGCGTGGCAGCTGCTGTCCTCCTCGCACCGCTGGCGGGCCTCCATGCAGCCGATGCCCCCTGCGTCGCTGGGGTGCCTGCGGGGCAAGCACGGCTCTATGGCCCGCTTCGCGCCGAGGCAGTTCGGGTCCAGCGCGCAGTCACAGGTCTCCAGATCCGGCCCGCTGCGGGTGTTGTTGAGCCGGATCAGCGCCTGGATGCAGTGGCTCGGGCACTGGCTCCTCGTCCCGCGGATGTTCCCCTCGCACGCCGCCAGGTACTGGTTGTAGGCGAGCTCACACTCGGGCTCGTTGTGGCACTTGAGGATCGCCCGCCAGCAGACAAGCTGGGCGTCTAAAGCCACCAGGAGCCACAGGAGAAGCGCCAGCGGGCTGCACTGACATCTCATGCTTGGCTGAAGTTTGAGGCGTGTGACGTGCACATCAGGATCGGAGCAAGTCAAGCAAGCGAAGGTCCGACAGAGGTTTTGTTACCAACGAGGCGTTTGTACAAATGTTCCACAGACTTGCACCCGTGTTTGACTTGCTTCCTGTTGTTGGGCTTCGTAACAGCAGAAACAACCAGGAGCGGCTGCGAAGTAGAGAAAGAGCGCAGAAACAGAAACAGTCATCTCTGGAAGTGTGCGCTTTCCAAAGCAGGATCCTCCAGTCTGAGAGCTACCCAAAGTCAACGAGAGTTCCGCTCTTAGTACTAATGTTTCTCACAACTCCTCGGTTCGTTTCACTCCAAAATATAACTTTTAGCATCCATCCACGCTTCCCAGAGTTGTTTTTGAAGACATAGTTCTATCATGCTGCCCCGCTACGCGCGTCTTTGTCCTGCTTCTGGCTGTAACGCTTCACGGTCCGCCGAGCATTTCTCCACAACACCCCTCCCTCTGTCGAAAAAAAAAAAAAAAGAAAGGAAAAAGCCCCCCACTCCTCCTTTGGCTCCGCTCCTTTTCTCTTCTTTCATTTTCTGTCCTGGTCAATGATTGGTCGCAGATTGGAAACCCACTTCTAGCGCCACAAATCCGAAAAACTGCAGCGCACTGCTAAAGTAATCATACTGTCTGACATGTCAGATTCAAGCCCACACTTCAGTGTGGTTTACTTGGAGTTTATGTGATAGACCAACACAAAGTAGTGCGTATTTGTGGAGTAAGAAGGAAATTCCGTTTTATTTATTTATCGCAAAAAAAGAAACTAAAAGTCTGTCAGGTTTGTATTTACCTTTTAATGTTACACCTCATAAAAGAAAACCTAGTGCAACCAGCTGCCTTCAGAAGTCGCCTAATTAGTGAATGAAATCAACTTCTAACCACAGTATCACCATTGTGAACAACAAGCAGAGGGCAGGTTGAGATTCCAACTTTTTAATTTAGAACCAGGTAAAAGGATGGTGGTCCATCCAGACTAACAGGTCAGACATGAAGCAAAGAAGCCAGTGATTATTCTGGAGAATATAAATAAAATATTAACACATACAAATAAACACATTTGTAGTATGTAGCAACATGCCATAGGGAATAGAGAGCACATGTAGAAGAAAGTAAGGGAAGTTAACATTGTATTTGGTCCCTTGGTGGCGGGAGCATCGATGCTTTTCTTCATCTGTGACATGAAAACTCATGGATGGGAAGATAAATGGAGCTAAATCCAGAGTAAAACAACAACAACAATTCTGAGCCATTGGTTCACCTTACAGCAAACATGTGAGAGTAAACTTTGATTATCTTCTATTTTCTTAACTCGATTGACCTTTTTTTATTATTTTGTGCTATTTGGACAAAATAATTTCCACGTGGGAATCAATACTGTAATCTTGACTCTTGAAATGGTTTCGCTCAAAGTACACTCCTTTGTTAGAATGGCCCAGTCAAAGTCCAGACCTAAATCCAGTTCAGACACCATAGCTGTGAATATGGCAGCTGTAGCTGCTGCTAAATGTGGTTCTTCAAATAATTAATCCAGGAAAGGTTGAGATGCATTTGTGAACCCAGCTCTGGGTTGGCCTGTTACAAATTGTGAAAAGGTTCAAGGGCTATGCAGATTTTTTACCAGGCCCTGTAGGAAGAGAGAGGCTGGATGAAAACTGGTTATAATTTTGCTTGCACAAAACCACGGATCTGTGTGGTCTTCCCCCCTTGGCTTCCTCTCGCAAAACACAGGTTAAAGCAGCAGCCAGGAGGGGATCTTGCAAAATGCATTCCATTACAGAAAGGTCACATCTGCAACTTTTCTGCTCCAGCTTTCACCAGAGCAGGAATGGCTGCTTTCTCTTACAGCTCCTCGCTAATTGTCACCCTACCCCTCTCTCTCTCTGTCATTCTGCTCAGTTTTAAGCCCCGATTGAGAGAGGAGAATAGGGGAGAATGCTATTTTCTGGCCCGTTTCACCCTAATTGTGTCAGATTGGCCATGCAGTGGCCCAGTGTCTTTCCAGGCTGAAGATTGTTCACGCACTGCAGCCTATCAATAGGGAGGGGTTCAGCATCAATATATTTTACAGCTATTCCCTTTCACACCACACTTGAAAACCAGCAATAGCTCAGGCTTTCCTGCCATTGAAATGGTAACTAACTTCTTTTTTTGAGGGGGTGAAGTTGGTCCACGTTTCCCCCCTCCTGTAGCTTGTGCCAGTTTTTGCAGGAGCTGCCCAGAAGAGTTGGATGCCCAAGACGAATTTACCCTGGGCTATAAAAACTTCTTCTAGACGAACAAACATAAATAAATAATTTGAACTTTTAAACATGCACTTCAGAAGTAACCAGTAAACAGCATATAATTATGTCTAATTTAATCTAAGTACAACTGTTCTGTTAAATCCCTCAGTAGATTGTTAATCATTAGTAATCATTAGTAAACAAACAGCATCAGTTTTGTAGGTGAATATAACACACAGTCCCAATAAAATACACTATTTGCAATGTGGCAAAAAGTGAAAACTTTTGCAAATGGTAAATGAAGAACATTCATTGAATGTTCTTCAATGAAGATGTTCATTGAAGAACATTCAATGGAGAACGTTGAGTTAGGTCCTAGTACTCTTGACTTTGATGGGTAAACTGCAAATATTTATCTTTCTGTAGAGAGGCATGATAACCATGGACTCATAATTTTGATAAAAACTTCATAACTCTCTCTGTTTTTTTTTTTTAAAAAAAAGGAAAATAAAAAAAATGGTTAATTTCCTTCATTTAACAACAACTGGCAAATAATTATACACTTTAATTGTCTAGAACTGCATTTTATTTCTCACAAAATGGACGTTTTGCATTTGAAGTAAATAAAAGTTGTTAGATTTGCTGAAGACTCCTTAATTTCTATATAAATTAATTTGTTAAATAATCTAAAATTAATGTTGCATTCCACCTATCTTAAATTTTATTTCACAGGGCATTGACCATGTTGGGAGTTCTTATCATCCAATGCTAAATGGGAGTAAAAATCCTCACCTTGCTTGCCGTCACTGTGCATTCCTCTGTGTATTTTTGTCTCCCTCTGGTGTTCAAACTGCTGCAGGTTTACCAAAAATGTTAAGATAAAAGTGAAATGAACCACAGCGTCATAAAAACGTGTTTATTGCAGTTAAAACTCAAAAAGGGACATCACTGAAGAACTCTCACAGTTACAGACATACAGTGAAACAGCCAAAGATCAAGAAAAGACTGCCATCGCAGCCTTTTCCTTAAAAATCAGATTCACAGGATAACAGCACAGAATTTACACTTGTGTATTAGGATTATGAGTTATTAATTTCAAGTTTCACACCTATATAAAACAAATAGTTTGCAATTTATGGCTTGGCTTCCAACTATTGATACCATATTCTGATCTTTAATGGCAGATTCTAGTAGCTTTGTTTAAAAATAAGTTATTGCAACTTTCCTCCTATGTTATTTATATGCTATGAAGATAATATCCTCTATCACAAGAAATTACCCATTGCACTCAAAACGTATTGCCTCGGCCTTCATTCAATAGCAGCGTGGCACGTAACAAAATAACATTTCCGTTTAATTTCGGGAAATCACAACAGTAAGCTTCCTTTACATAAAACACAAAAATCCTACCGTACAGAAGTTAGAACAAAAGTCTAAAATTTTGACACATAAAATAAAATGTATTTTACATTAATGCAACACTGAATCCCCTCCTTACATCACAGGCAGGACCCCACTTTAAGCCTACTCTAACTGACAGTGAGCTCTGTCATGTTACAAGCACTCCCAGCAACAGGAACAGATTCATTATTTTTCCTTTTACAAAGACGCCGTTTAGCACATCACACTGGCTTAACAACACAACATCCAGCAGCACGAAACGCGAATACTGAGATGGCGGATGAGATGGAGGACGAGGCGAGGATCATGGGACGGATGACGACACTACAAGACTCAACGCGTTGTTGGAAATGGTGAGAATCAACCTGCTGGAGCCAAACAGCACAGAACTCTACATAGAACATAAATATCTGCATGTAGACTCAGCCGGATTTATACACACACCAGAGGCAAACAATCTGATATGTCCGTGCCATTTCCTCTGCGTTGGTCAGAGCGTTATCAACAAAGGCTTTGGCATACGACTGAAAGCATTTCCTTTCTACCAATCTGAGCAGCCATCAGAAAGCAGCATATAAACAGATCCACACACAATTTATATGTAGATATATAGTGGATAGAAATGGTATTGTATGGAAGCCGGATTAACTTTGCACACAGTTACATGTTCATGTAAAGCATTCATCACTGCAAGTTTTCACACCTAAACAAGTGAGTAATTATTTGTAGGTTTTAGTAAAACTAACAATAAAAACAAAAAAATTATTTAATAAATTAACCACTCAGAAAGCGATTCAATTATCTTGGAGCTTCAGCCTTGACCAACAAGGCTCACAAGAACAACAACAAAAAAACAACAGAAAAAACAAATGTCATGGAAGATTAACCTTTTGGTTGTCCTAAACAGTTGTTACTCATTAAATTGTCTGATTTTGTTTGTATAATTAACATGAGCTGGTGTGCAGAGCCGGTCAAGGCTGTTTAGGGCCCCCAGGCCAGAAGGGTCCTCAAAGAGTCCTCTAATTCTGACCGGAGTGCTGGTCATTTGGCTAATTTACCATTTCACACTTTTGCAGTTTGCTTTTGTACCCGACTCTTTTGCATTCAAGATGAAGCTACTTGCCACAAGACCAACTATGAGGTATTTCAATGCTGTTTTAGGGACATTTTGTACATGCTTTAATACCTGATCATTTTAAGAATATTTTTTTAGATGTGCTTAGAAATATTTGTGTTACGCTGTAAGATTATGTTAATCCCAAAGGAAGATGATTCAGTTTAAATCAGAGCTCAGAATTGCTTATATTTCTCAAGAGAAAGTCAATAAGAACCGCTTGAGCATTACTATGGCTAATAATTGTCATAGTTCGACAAAATACTTAACTACACTCAGAAACAAAACTGATACACAATGGCAGAAAAATATGCTTGAAAATAACTGACAACTTTTTTGTAGCTTGAAGGCAAAACCAGTCAAACTCACCCATTCTGCCTAACTCTACGACGCTGCGAAAGCGTATGAGTAAGTCAGAAAAAGTGCCCCAAATCCAGGGTCTACTGGCTGTTTTCACCTTCTAAAACACTTTTTATCAACCACTATTTAACTAAAAAGAATGAAGAAGCAATGCAAACTAAAAGTGGTTGTAGAAACTCTGGTGGGTGGGAAAAGGTCTTCTAAATCAAAATTTGTTTAGAGTCCAGTTCTAACTTAGGCTGGCCCTGAGTGTTAAGCTTGTGCATGTGTGTTCTCGTTCCAACCAAGCAGCTGACCCCAGTGGTCCTGACTTTATTATAGATGCACGCCTTAACCAATAAAAATCCTCTGCTGAGTTTTGGAGAAGAAAGGGGAGGGAACACACACATACACACTGCTACGACCTCTGCTGCAGAACTGCATGGTGTTGTCACTGGCCAGGTACAGAGAACGAAGGAGAATGGGAACACAGGGAATGAAGGATCTGGTGCACTGTACACATTTACCAAGAGGAGAACTTGCTCAGACCTGCAGAAATGATCTCACTGGTTTCAGTTTTATCAGAGAGCAAATTGGCTCATTTTCTTACTTTTTCTTTTTTGTATAAACGTGAATAACATTCAGGATGATTAAGACTCAAAATGGTTTTAACTAGTTAGAAGGTGAGCCAAAGGTCTCATAGGCTCCAGTCTGATTTTGATCCCCATAAGACAATAATTATGCAACTCTGCTCACTAAAGCAATGAGAAAATGTCTACACCAGGAGAAGCTCTGCCTCTGATAAATATCTGCACAAGTGAAACTCTGTTTTGTGGAACCGCTCAGGCCCTCTTCACATGAGGTTGCAGTTTTCCGTCTGCTTCTTGAGGTCTTCCAGTGTGGCCTGGGCTTTGTCCTTCAGCTGGTCGATGTCCACGTTCTGGATGTTGGACAGCTGGCCCAGCACGGACTGCTTGTGCGCCTCCTCCTGGTTGTCCTCAGCGATCATCTTGGCCAGCTCTGTGGGCAGCACCACGTCGTCCCCTGCCTGCTGGATCTGGGTCTCGTCGAGCTCATTCTGAGGCGCAGAAACACATGAAGAGAAAACATGCCAATGTTAGTTTCACGTGTTCGTCTGAGAAGCTGAAGCACATGCATTCTTTAAATTACCTTTGGTAATCTGTACTTTTCCCGAAAATGGGTTCTAACTGTAGCCCTCTCTGCTTTCTTCTGGGCAAAATGAGCTTCTCGTTCTTGTCTGCAAGACAGGAAGAAAATTACAGCCTACAGGCAGAATGTTCTGTACGAAGTAAAAGCTTGAGAAAAGCTCTACTTTAAACCAAGCATGGCAAAGAAAGGTTGCCTTCTAATAATTATTAGGCTTTCTGAAAATCAGAACCTAACATGCCAGTTGCAATATCTTCTTCATATTAAGCCTCTATCAATTAATTTGAACATGGAAAAAATTAGTTTTAAGTTTCCAACTTGGTCTAGGTCATGGGTAGTATGATTATTGCCTTTCTATGCAGTGGGATTTCTCCTACAGAGCTGGATTTCTCCGGTAGAATTTCAGCCAGGCCAACCAGCGAAAAGGAATAGAAATTATAAAATACAGCAATCATTTTTATGCTGCGTTTTAGAATTATAGTCTGCCTGTAGTTTCAGCAATGGTAGAGAACAAAGCCATTCAGTCCGTGCATCATAGGCAAACGTTAGCAATAGGGTAAAATTCAAACTTTCCTCCATCAAGGAATTGTTTCTCAATAGCCAAGAGGTTCAGTTCTGTGCCAAGCAAAGCATAGAAGAAGAGGCTTATTTTTACCAGGCTAGGTCATGGAGGGTAATGTGGAACAGCAGTGTCATTGTTGTGGACAAACAAAATCTTCACCGCTTTACACATCTGCGACACAGTAGAAGGATGTAATATGTTTCCTCTTCAGCTCCAGCTACTTGCTAATGCACCCAGAGTTAACCCTGGTCTGGACAGTCTGTGACAAGTTACGACCTTTCATGTCAACTGAACCCCACTTGTTATCTTGGAACGTCATTCATATGAATGATTTTTCTCACGATCCAGGAATAAAATTCTGGACATATTTGCAAAATCCCACTAATCAGAAATACTTTGTCCTCTTTACCAGCGTGATGAAACACCAATAGGTTGAGAACCCATGGCCAAACATGCAACATGTGCTCCGCCAGATCCTCCATCTTGTAGCTCATTTCTGTGTACCACACACAGCAACCATCTTGTTTCAAAATCAAACTGACCATATGCCATCGTCAACCACTTTAGGAAATAATTTTGTGTTTTCAACCTCCTCTCACTCACTGAGGTGATCACTGGATATTTTATGATTTGTAAGCAACACAGTACATGGTAGATATTAATGTATATTAAGCTTAATCTATTTTAGTCACTGTTGTGATGTAAATAAATTCCATGTGTTGTGATATGTGGGTGTGGTATGAAACCTGCTGGTTGAAAAGCCTAAATTCAGACCTTCACTGAACATCCAATGTCTACAGATTAATTTATACAGGCTAGAAGAAAACCAATGCAATTGTTATCATTTTTTCTTACTTTTCACATGTTAAAATGAATATATGTCTTAAAGATAATCAATTACTGATAATTTTTAGACATTTATTAATATTTTCTGCTGACAAGACAGCTGTCCTCTTTTTGTGCACAATACCAAACTCACAAGATTCAAGCTGTAGACTAACTAGTTTTGCAGCAATTTGAAATGATTTAAAAGAGCAGAAAATGTTAAAATATGTAAAGAAAATGACCTTTCTTCATTTAACATCTTGAAATGGTATTTTGTTCGAATTCCTGCTCTTTCTGGTGATATGCTGCTTCCCTATCTTCACAGTGAAATGATCCAAATGTCCAGAATCAGAGGTTTGAGGCACACATTTGGAAACAAAGGAGTAGATAATGTAGAATAAAAATCTTCACACTTGAATTTTCAAAGGTCATGTCTAATTTGCAAAATTTTAAAATAGGTGAACAAAAATGTTATGAGATGTATTTTTATGTGTAATAGTGTATTTGTTCAGTTTTAGCTCTTCCCAGCAAGCCGATAGTGTTGGATTTTTACATAATCTAATATAGGCTATTATACTTGAGCATAACAAAGTGTACACTTGTAATCAGGTATACTTAAAATAGTTTAGAAGTTCAGCATATGTTGAGTCATGTGTTTGGGAAAAAGTTATTCCATATGATACATTTATTTATTTCTCATTTAGCAGTGAGATATTTTAGCCACTAAATATTACACGAGTCGGGCAAGAAAAATGACAACTTCAGGAAACGAGAAAGAAGTTGGAAATAAAAAGCCTCTTCAATGTACCTATTTCTTTTTTTAATTCTTGGTAGCTCTAAACAAGCCCTCAATCCACTCCACCCTCAACAGTTGGAGTGTCCTTCCATATAGATGGGATTCTGCCTTTGTGTCCTCAGTTCTTGCTGCCTCCAGCAGGGGGCAGGCAGGAAGTGTTTTCTCCACTTCCAACTGCTAGAATGTTAATTGGTAAATCTGCTGTGAGCCACAGATATTGCGAGCCAGTCGGGCAACACAATCTGAATCAAACTTGCTTGAACAGCCAGAGGTCAAACATCTAGTGAGAACAACAACGAAATGAGAACATTTTGTGCAAGATCAGAAAACCGAGTGCGTCCTGAGGACAAAATAATCCATCCATCGAAAGGGCTGAAATATGAATACTTGGATAAAATCAGCAGCAGCATCAAAATTCAAAGAAACATGAGAAGGGACATGCTCGCACTCATTGTGTCAAAAGAAAGGTCCTCTTTTGGTTGAGATGGAGTATTCATCTCCGTGTGATCTGGAGCTCACTTCGCATTAACATGCCAGACATAGAAAGGCCATGCAGCGAACACCAATGTGCAGCTTCTGTGTCTTCTGTCTCTCAAGGGCATCAGTTGACCCAGGGTGTCACTGTTGTGTCCTGGCAGCTCAGGGTGATGAAATGCCTGTGTGTGTCATCATGGCAGTGTGAGCAGCCCACACTTCACCTCAGAGGTTTCGCTCTGTTTTAATCTAAGAAGGAAGAGCTTCTCCTGATCTATGTTCATGTCTAATGAACCTTCTGACTAATAATTCTTTCCCACCGAAGGTCACGTCATGATGGCAGACTGTCAGGCAGCTCTCCTGTGGAGCAGAGTGGGCTCTGCTGAGTGTTAATGGCTTCACCCACTCACTCTTAAAATGTCTGCACATGGTCCCAAAAGACAGTTTTGACAAAAGTGTTAGAAGGGAGGTGTTGGCTGATGGTGATAGGAACATTTTCTCTGTCCTAATATGCAACGTGATGAACAAACACTGACCATCTAAAAGGGCCCTGTAGAGTTAAAGGCTGGGGCAACTTTGACGACCTGCTTGTTATATTTTGTTCTTGCATTTTTTTTTTTTTACATTTTATGACTTCATCAGTGGCTTTAGTTCTGTGGAAAACCACACACACACTAAAACGTAGTAGAGCAAAGAGTCACACAGAAATGACAAAGCCGCCTCTGAATTAATTAAAGGAAGATATGCAAATTTGGTTCCACCTGATTTTTCATGCATCCTATCGCACAACAGTCAGGAACATCTTTCGCCCCCGGCACAGTAAAGGTATTCTGCGAAATAAATAAATGCTTATTTATTTATTTAAACGTGAGGGTTTTTTTTTCTTTCTATTTTGCCCGAGCATAGATATGGAGAGCTCCTCCGGGCGAGAGGAGCAGCTGTGTGAGGAGCGCTCCTATTATTGCACTGATGCGTAAAAAAGCGCGCCGCGCACAGAGCGCTCCTCGCTTTTTACCCATAGAATCAAATAAGCCATAATTTTAACATATTTCATAAAGAAAAACAACAATAAATTAACTCTTTGCTCATTATTATTTCACACAATATATTTCAGTCAGCGCTTACTTTTCCTCCTCTAACTGTTGCTGATATTGTTCAAATTCCTCTTGAGTCATTCCCTGCGCGGAGGCTTCTGATTTCTCCCCCTCGGATTTCTCCTCCGTGAGGCCGCCCGTCAGGTTCTTCAGCTGCCCTCCCACCACGTGTTTTACCATGAAAGCCATGGCTGCGGTCCGGAGAGTCCTCGGTTTGAGCGGCTGACGTTACAGAGTCGGTGCGCTCCTGGAGAGGGCGGCGGGGTCGTGGGGAGAGATTTCTTCCAAATCGGCGTTCAACTCAGACGCCTTGAGACTTCACGCAAAAAGTGGATACGGAGAAAAAAAAAAAAAAAAAAAAAAAAAAGAAAAAAAAAAAGAGAGGAAAAAGAGCGCAACTGGGAAATGCTTGAACCTGGAATCGGAGGAACGTGCTATCAGCCCCGGAGGCAGCGTCGGATAGCTTGACAGTTTCAGCACCACTGGCCCCGGACAGCTCCGCGTCGAGATGGACGGAGAGGAGCAGCTCAGTTATGAGTCAACAAGTTTGGCGCTGAACTCTACCAATCCCGTGACTCCTTCCTCCGCCACCACTCCCTCCCTCCACCCAATCCCAGGCACCGCCGGACTCGGAGCGCGCTCACACGGCTCGGAAAGCCGTGATTCGCCGTCTGAGGATGTGCGGCGATGGACGCAGGGAAGAAAACAACACGTGACGAGCGTGAGTTTCTCCTGGTCGCTTCGGTGCCTCCGTCTTTCTCAGGGACATCCAGCCGCCGCACAGTTTGTCAACAGATGAGAGAGTCCTGATTGCATGTTTATCCAAGGATTCATTGGCTTCCAGTGCAAAACCATTTGTCACATGCATTAAAGTGTTTTATGAAAGTAGCACATAATAGTGAAGTGGAAAGAAAGAGGGATGTTTTTCCAGTTGTTTGTTTAGTAATTAAACTCTGTCTGGAAAGTGTGGCGGGCATTTGTTTCTTCCGGTGAGACAATAATCATATTTTGACACGATTACCACTTCACAGCTGTTAGGACTTTTGAGACCAGTTTTGCACATCTCGAAATGTTCAGCCCTGTATTCCCCAAATGGCTCAAGGTCAGTCAGATCTGATGTATCTGCAAAGATCTATTTTTAGGCTTTGCCAAATGTTTTAATTTTATTTAGAAATAGGTCATTCTAAAATGAATAATTTTATATCAAAACCATTCCATTTTAACTTTGGTTGTACATTTGGCTTTGTTGTCCTGCTCTAAGGAGAACCTCTTCTCCAGGATTGCCTCATCCATCTTTCCATCGATTCTGACCAGCTTCTCCATGCAGAAGTAATGCAGCATAACGTAGCCAGCACCATGTTTCACTTTAGTGATAGTTTGCTCAGAAAAATATGAAATAAAAATTTTTCAAGGCTTTTTTGCCTCTATTCTATTTTTGACAAATTTTGTGAGTTTAGAACCAATAAATTTAACTTCAGATCTTCACAGCTCCTTGAGATTTTTGGGACACTTTGCTGCTTTTTAGGGTTACTTTTATTTCCCAGTCTGTCAGTTTTGGAGGCTTTCAGTTCTGTCACAGTCTTTTCAGTTTCTAGAGAAAGGACTGCTTTATGAAATATTCAAAGGTTGGGAAATTGTTTTAAGAACTAATTTGTGTCAGGCTATCTCATTTATTGAAATTTATGGCTGTAATGGAACAACATGTAGAAAGGATTATTTTGATATATAATGTATATGTTGTTATCACTCAAGACGGATGCATTGCATACAGATCACTGTAATGTTTGCTCAGTGAACACCAATGAGTCTGTGACGTGAAAAGATGTGCACAGTGCATGAGCAGATGGAGTCCAATTTTTAGCCAGCAAATGTGGTCTCCTGTGGCAGGAGCCACTTAAGGTCCTGCTTTGTCTAATGGGTTCAGAATATCAGTGTGTGGTACTTTATGGTCATATTTCTGTTTGGTGATGTAGGCAGAAACAGCTTCTGTCAAAAAATAAATAAAAAAAGGCTTGTTAAAACAGTATTAAGGTAGATGACATAATGTTCGGCTGGAATAAACATTTTTAATAAAAATGCGACCTACATTTTTGCATTCGCATCTGTTCTTACGTGAGCGAGAGAGAGAGATATTTTAAATCTCTATTTCTGCAGGAGTTTCCAGCAACCAAAGTGTGAAAAACAACTTTGATCACAAGTCAACAACTTGAGCGTCCTGATCCTCACAGCAGCCTGACACCGAGCCTGGCCTACTTTTCTAGTCCCTGTGGATCGTTGGGGGGAGACGGAGCAACGACTCAGTGTCTTTTTGTCACAGGCTTAGTGAGACCCTCTTAGCCAACACCTGCCTTGCTCTAAAACCTCTCCCGACTCCATCCCAACTTCAAAGCTGCAGCCGGTGAATGGTCTAAAACACAACACAGCGAGTAAGATCAAACCTAATCTCTGTGAAATTGAATAAAAGGAAGGAATTTGCCTAACCAGCATGTTTTAACATCGCGTTATATAATTTCGCTTTTGATATCCAGTCCTGTGGGATCTGCTGCAGGAGGAGGTCTCCATCACTTTTCATGGTCTACAAGTATTTTAGCAGGTACACAGCAGGAAGCTCTAATCCAACACGGTGCACACAAAACATGGCTTGATGGTGTGAAGAGCCTCAGAAACTCACTTTCACAAGTACAAATATGGAGAGCATAGGGCAGATATTTGATCATTTTTAGAAGAAATGTCACACCTCTGTTATCTGTATATACTCAAGATGTTACACAGTAAAACTACAAGGCTGTTTATTCACTAACAGTCTATTAGAATTTCTGATGTTCTCGTTGTGTTTGTCAAATCCTGATCATAGCTGCAGGTCAAAGGGATGTTTAATTTCTGTGTGTTTGAGATGTGATAGCTAGGAGAAAACATTAGCACACAAATTCAGCTGATTTAACCTTTAAAGATCTTCTGATTCTCTGTAGTCTCTTTAGTGCATAGCAGCACTTTCTAAATGTTTCAGCAGGATCACTAAATATCAGCAAAGATCTTTCAAATGTTGTGGTCGCTCATCTCGGATTCAAACTGTATCTTACCAAAATGTAAATGAGGCAGCTGCAGCTGAAGAATTGGAGTTAGATGAATTCCCATCACAGGTTATTTTGCAGTCTTTCACTCATAGCGGAGAAACTAGGAACCAATCAGCTGTATTTGTTCAGTAAGAGGGCATGACATTGACATGAAACCTTCAGAGTGAAATGCGGAGGAGAAAAAAAAAACATTACTCATGCTGCCTGATTTAAAAATAGGCTCATGTTTATGCTCCCTGACTGCGCTCAGTTCATGTTACAGCCTACTCAGCGTTGACCTCGGTCTCTCTGTACGGTGAAAATGAACGGCTCAGGTCTCCAAATGTGAGCATATATGATGAATACAGCCATGCTAAGCCTTCTATCTACCGTAATGCACATGCATTTGTGCACGCAAGCCAGAAACATCTCATTTGAATTTAGCATCTGTGGACATTTTTTATGCTCTAATAGCCAACGTCTACCACTGAATAGCAGAGAAAGTAATAATGTGCATTGCTTACATGAAGTAGCAAATATTTGTCATCTGAATACGAATCTGAATACAACTTTGAGGCTGCAACAACAAAAGGTTAGACAGCCGTGACATGCCGTGGTTGTTGTGAGCCCGGAGCGATCACAACATGAGTCAACATCACTGAAAGCATCATGCTGGCTTCTGCCTAGTCACACTTCCAGCCTGGATGCTCTTGATCTTCTGGGATTAGGAAGCTGTGTGGGAATCAAGAAAAAAGGAGTGAGAAAGAGAGAGATGGGTTTATGTACACCATCACTCACAACCGCTGATCCACAGCAGCCGAGTGTTACACCTTTGTTTCCGTAGACAAGGGATTAGACTCATCAGACAAGCATGCCCTGCAGCAAACAATGTGCACATTCAGGGACTTCTTAAATTTACACAGGAGGAGATGACGCCATTAGGAAAACGCTGGGATGCCAGTCTGTGGGAAAAGCTGTGTGTGGCGCCCGCCTGGTGAGATGACAAAATATCACACTAATCACGTTAGGATTGAGAGCTGATCTGAACATTCTCAGACAGAACTACTTACTGCATGAAGCAATGCTTCACAACTTTTGAAAAATATTCAATTTTATCTGAACCTGCATCAGGGGGTTGACCAAAGCTGGAACAGACAGGTGGGGTCACAGCAGCAAGGCACCATACGGAGCAAAGCGGGTTGGCCCTGCAGACGGGGTCTGATGCCCTGCAGGCTGTCCACGAGGTGTTAGACCACACCACATGGCAACATGGCAACTGTCCCCACAGTTTACATCAAGGGCAACTGCAGGGGATGAATATAATAGCCCTGATTTAGATCATGGAGAGACTATTTAAACTTTTTTTTGCCATTTTTGCCATGTTTAGAAAATGAGGAACATTCATATTCATATTTGCCCAGGCTGTAAGAGAAAAAAGAAAGCAGAAAAAAAAAATCTGCCTTTTTTTGTAAGTGCAGTGCAAGCAGATGGAATCTCATTTGTGGTGCTGACAAAATAAAATTATCACATTAAAAAAAGAAAAATCGCAATGAGACATCTCTTTCCAGAAACCATACCTCAGCCTCACTGGATAATCCACAGAACTCGCTGCCAACCGCTTTCAGAGAAAGTAGTTCAGATAGAAACTTGACAGCAAAATCTGTGGATTATCCAGGCTAACTGGGACACAGATTTGGAAAGAGATGCTTCTCTGAGAAACAAAGTTCTTTCTCAAACCTGAGAAGACAGACTATCCCTGCAGATCTGACACTAGAAAAACATTAGAAAATGAAAATAGCTGCTGAAAATGTGCTGCAATTAAATTATTTGTGTTTCAATTTTAATTAATAATGTTACTTCTTGCATTTCTGAATGAAATCAAATGCAAGCAACATTTATTTGGTTGTATTTCTGGCTCAATTGCAGAGTCATGGTTTATTCCAATGCAAAAAAAGCATTTTAAGACTCTGTAGCCTGCAAGCAAGGTTTTTAGCTCAGAAAATTTACATGTAATGGAGAAAGAGGCAAATACAAGGAGGAAGCCAGCCTGGGATCATTATTACACTTCACTTTGGCGAGCATAAAAGTGTGAAAACAAGCTGCCAAGAGACACATTCTGCGACAGAATTCACAGCAGAAGAGTACGCGCATCAAAAGTGAGAAAGATGAAACACAAATGTTCAGATATTATAAAACTGAAATAGGTTGTGAAATTGAGTGCGAAGGGAAAAAAAAGTGGTCGAAATGCTTTGCAGCTGCCTTGATATCCGCAATCAGACGAGGAAACGAGGACAAAAAGCACCACAGAATGTGTTAAGTATTGTTCTGAATACTGTTTTTCACAGAAACGTGTTATGTTCAAAGCTGAAAAATGCAGAGAAACTGCAGCTTAGCTTGTATGATACTGACAAATAACATGGAACAGATGAATCCTGTTTGACTTTCTCTGTAGAGAAACCGGCCGCAGCTTCAGAAAACCCTGC